GAGGGCGTATAACCTCATCTCCCCATAACATGGCATCCCGTTCTTTGCCCTTGGCCTTGTTCCATATCTCTAATAGTTGCTGTAGTTATTGTCAGTGCCCGTCTCGAGCTCAGAAACACAGAAAGACAACGCCAACCGACCTTGATGCCCCATTCTCTCACTTGGTTTGCGCGCAGCTTGGCTTCTGGCCACTCCAGTGCCGTTCCCAGGGCTCTATTAAGACACACATTCATTAGTTGAGTCAGCGGCTGAGACGCATTTTTGAGAAAGACGCACAAGAGACCCATGGTTCAGCAATAAGTGGAATGGCAGCAGTTGAGAGCAAGATGGTCTGCTGGGTGTCTGATGTTTAAATCTCTGAAAGCGCGAGAGTTGTAAGATGTCAAAGCATGAAAATCCAAAGGCAAGCCGGACAATTTATCGAGAATCGAGCATAACCCTAGACGGCACTGGTGACGACAGAGACAAACAATGCAACGACAAAGATGCTGAGAAACGAAAGAAGAAGCCGGACGGAGTCGCTGTGTCGCTCTTCTCCTCGGACAAAGACGCCGATCGCAGAGGCGAAGACGTGCTCCTTTGGAGTCGCACGAACTCGGTGAATGGTTATGAGAAGTAGAGTGCAGGGAGCTGCCTCTTGTCCCCAAGCTCGGACCCCGATGAAAGAGCGGACGACGCACACCCTTATGGTTCCGACTGCTTCTTCGGATACAACCAACAGAAAAAGAGATGATGGCGATACGATGCTGGGGCGCTGGACCGGTATTTGTGTAATAAGAGAGAAGAGAAAAAAAATCTCGATTTATTAAAAGACGGACGCCCCCACTCCGGGAGAAGGGCGCCAAAAGGCTGGCAGACCAGACCGGGATGGTAAGACGGACAAAAAAGAGGCAGCAATTGCTGGATGTTGAAAGCACGAATGGACTGAAGAGTTGAAGGGAATGCAGTACATGTAGTCAGAGCGAGACGGAGCCTCTCATACGATGAGGTGATGGGAGTAGAGAGGTATAAAGAGAGAGTGATGATAGTGGGATGATATAATCCAGACCCAATCGGGTGTCATATTTTCATCTCTACCTATTTTTTCTCTATATACTACTACTACAGTACTCTATTATGCATCCCCCACCTCTGCGGCTGAGGATTCAACAACAACAACGGACCTTGGAGCGGGAAGAAATACCACTAAAACAGTAATAAAGCCACTAATAGCTAAAGGAAAATCTCCAGTCTTTGATCTACTACCTAGATTAAAGGAAACAATCCGAGTGAATACTTGTGGTTAATAATCTCGCTCTACCGCGTTCCTTCTTCCTCTCCGCCCTCGCCCAACCACAGAGGCCGAAACGGCAGGGCAGTGGAGCCTTGCGGCAAGTCGGTAGCCGAAGATTGGTGAGAGCTTAGAAATCCAACTGCAATGGATGGAGCCCCGACAGCTGGAACGTCGCTTCCTCGTCGTCGGACTGTCGGCGCGAGGGAAGGAGCGTCGTTATGCAGTGGGCAGTAATGAAGGGGCTGATGGGGAAGGAAGAGAGCCGTGCCTTCTTTTGAGGTTCGCGATGATGTCCAATAAGAGGGTCCTCGCTTACATGCCGATGTTGAAGCCACGGGTTTGGTGATGCAGCTGCTCCTTCTCGCATTCCGCCAGACTAACAGCAGTACTTACTAATACAAGTCACACACAAACTTCAGTTGCTTGAAAAGAGCCTCTCTTGGGTAAGGCACTGGTAGTATTAAGACGGCTGGCGAAAGCTGGTACTATTTCGTTATTACAGGTACCTCATACAAAAGCTCTCGTTTGCTTCTTCTCCAACATCAACCCCCGACTCTCGGCTGGCGATGGCAACATGCAACGGATGCATTGCGTCATGTGAATGTATGCGATATGTCTCATGAAAGAAGAGCAGACAAAACAAACCCTGCAGATGACAATTGCAATGCGGTCGAGCATCAAGACCGCTCCCTTGCGGATATCCATTCTGCGGACTTGGTGCCCCGGGCCTTGGCTTTCTGACGTTGACGAGTACACACACACATCGGCTTCAGTCAGCCGTCATGACCTGAAGCAGTAGGTATGGTAGCCGTTGTGAGAACGGGCTCATTCGTCTTGAAGCCGCTCTAGACGCTTCGAATGGACGCTCTGTGCCTCCTTATCTTTTCTTGACTTTCTCCTGTTGGTGAAGAGGCGTGCTCACCATCAGGGTTCATTGTTCGAAGCGTTCTCCATACATGACTGGAATGCAAAAACGTAGGGTTCAAGACACGGCAAGACATGCACAGAACTTTCAGACAAAGCTCCTTTTGCTTTCTAGAAGGTCAATGACAGCTGCTGCTTTCATTCCTGCACTCACCGAAACATCATTTCGTGGCTCGCCGTCTTTGTTGCTCTCTAAGGTAGGCATGCATGCGCATCATATAGATTTACACGTACGAGCACTAGTACTATCATCATGCCATGCCCTGCCGTGGAAAGCCGACGAAAGCACGGAATCCTATGGCTCCCAAAACAGGCAAGTGCCCGCATCTCCGCACCGGAGTTTACAGCTGGGAATAGACTACTATCCACGGATCGAATTGCCTGCTGCTGAGAAATGAAATGCTGCCGACGCCCTGCCAGTGACTGATCATACTACAGAGGTTTAATCAGGAGGATTCATGCACGGATGCATGATAACTAGCAGGTGCATGCATGAGTGGAAGAGAACGCTGTTACTTGCGCATTCCTGATGGCCATCTGGAGATGAACCTATGAGATCGGCCAGCGGGAATGCAGATGGACTTCATTGAAATTGTTCCCTCAAAGAACAAACCTACTACGGAAAAGGTCCATTTGAGAAATGGAATTTCGAAACCGTATCGTCGTCAATGATTGGCCCTTGAGCAGCGGAACCAAGTGGCATCAACTCAAGGAATGCGGCAGTTCCGACTCTTTGATAGTTCTCTCCGTTGTCTTGTCTATAGAGAGTGTGTGGCAAAATGGAAGCCTGATAGGTATGAAACTCTATCAGACAAAGTGCGTGCAGCTTCCCCAGTGCCCCCAGTGCGCCGGACAGCGCTGGCCCCAATACCCATCATCCAATGAACAAATAGAGGGACAAAATGAAGGGGGGGAATTGACTTTTTTTACGATTGCACACGCACGACCGATACCAGAAGGGCGAAAGAGCGCGGGTGACGGGTGAGAGGAAAGGGGACAAAGGAGGGTGGGAGGGCTGTGACTGGCTGTCGGTTATTTTCGAGGGAGTCTAGAGTTGTTGAAAGGGGGGGCGAGACGTGCGTCTTGGGAGAGATGTATCTAACTTGCCAGGACCAGCAGAAGCAAACAGTTCCGTCGTCTACCATTTGTCTCTGTCAGATGGTGATGATGGCCACAAAGCTGTGGGGTGGCCTCGATTCGACTCTTGGCCCCTTCTGGCCTAGATGATGGCCGCGAAGCAAAGAGGAATGGCTCAAGAATGGGTTGGCAGTGCGAGTTTCACGCTTCTTGTTGGCTGCCCGAGTCCATCCCTTGTACTTGTACGGCTATGTATCACACAGATTGCTCATTAGGCACGATAGCAACCACTTCGATCTCTTTCTGATCTCAAGAACGAGATGGACGTCCCATCACCGTCACAAACACACGACGTCACTCCGTTTGGTGTTTGACGGTGGAGAGCGTGACATTGATTACGTCATATCCCAGCATGTGTCACTGACGGTTGCTGATGAGTGAGGACTAGAAGATGAAGGGCGAAGGACTTTGTGTGATGAGAGTCAAGACTCTGTGTGATGAGCGTGAGTATAGGGTATGATTGATCAAAGACGCTTGGGCGACGCAGATGATCATTCTGTATGTACTCTATCTAGTCTAGTACTTGGTACGGCCCCGTTATGTTTCAGAACGATTTGGAGTGACGGCATCTGAATCGGGTCTTTACATTTATTACGAGTACAGTATCTGGTTGATACTGTTATCAGGGCTTGGTTCAGCCTGAAGATGGAGGGCCCCCTTTGGTTGCCAGATGTGCAGATGGACATTCTATCAAGTTCTTTGGAAGATCAAAGGTGCCGTTGTCTTCCTTGTGTCTTGTCAGATCTCATCCGTAGCTGGTCACGCTGGCTCTTCTCTTGGCGATTTGCGACGTCAATCTCGGCATCTGATCCTCGTCCCCTCTCTCAAGGATGCATCAATGCAACCATTCAGACAATTGTACAGTTGACGATCAGCCCGCCCTCACCGTCGAGATTACAATTAGAGTACATGTACATACAAATCCATGCAACGCTTTTGTATCACAGGGAACATTCAGTCACTCTAGAGCCAGAACCCACTGTTGGGCATGCATCAAGCCCAGAATCAGCTGTAAAATAGCGGCATTGGGCAGTGGCAGTGGCAGCGGTTGCGGCAGCTCCAGCCTCCACTGCCGAACCACCAACCAAAGCTGAGCCCAAGGCCCCTAAAAGGTCCCTAAGAGGTCCCTAAACACAGTTGGAGTGGAATCCAATCGACCCTCAGCTGGATCACCTGCTCCTCGTCCTCCACCCATTGGATCTCTTCCAGCTACCCTTCAGGGACCGACCATCTTGGACTCAACCTTCTTCACCTTTCCTATTTCCATTTCCATTCTTGCCTACCTGACTTTGATTCAACGACGCTCGACTCTCTCTTTTCTTCCCACCTCCTTGCCCCCCGTTCCATCTCCCTTCTTCAACCAACAAGCTCCTCGTCAACCTCGACTGAACTCGCTTGTCTCCCTTCCCCCGCATCCGCCCCTCTCGACGCTTTACTGCTGAACAAACAACGACCATTACCTACTAGAGTAGCTGCTGCTGTCCCTGGCACAACGCAAACGCACGCACACGCATACGCAACCCACACCGAACTCGACCTCGAATTTCAACGACTTTTCCGACGACATACGACCTTACCCAGAAGCCCAACCCTCGTTTGTTTGTGCGAGTGCGACGAGCGACAGATTGATTCCCTCTTTTCGTTTTCCTATTACCCTACAGCCACCATGAACCCTCACCAGAAGAACAAGGTCGACATCAATGTGAGCTTTACCGACCCTTACCTCTTATTCCTTACCCCTCCTTGCGCTTGGCCCAGCAGCGTTGGGGTAGAGACACCACAAGCGCCAGATGGGAGAACACGATGACGCCTTGCTGGTAACGGTTTGACCGCCCTTTGCCGAGCCAAAAACACCAGAAGGCCGAGGAATGAAGTGCAGTGACAGCATCTCCAAGAGAAACAACGCCGAGCTAACCCGCCAATGCGTCACTTTTTCTAGTCGCTCACGCCCGACGAGCAGCGCCTCTTCCGCCTCTACGGCAAGCTGCCCTCGCGATCCGACCACTTCGCCAAGCACCTCAAGGACCGCAAGTACTTCGACTCGGGCGACTACGCCATGTCCAAGGCCGGCAAGGGCGACGGCGTCGACGCGGGCGCCGTCGGCTCGCAGCACCCCGTCCCCGAGAACATCCCGCACCTGACGTCGCCCACCAACGGCGGGCCCAGCACCCCCGGGCACACGCACCGCGGCTCCATCCCGGGCATCCAGGCGGGCAGCCCCGTCAAGGAGGGCAGCTTCTTGAACCGGGAGACGTCGGCCGAGGGCGAGGTGACGCTGAGCGGCGACGACACCAAGAAGGACGAGCAGGATCAGGCGGCTGACGAGGCCAAAGCCGTCGACGCGGGGCTTGGCGGGACGCCCATCGCCGCCGGAGGGGCCATGCCTGTCCGGCAATAGCCTCGATGCGTGTTGGTCTGATGCATTCGATTTATACAATCTGTCCGGCTTTCGGTGTGGTCGGTATAGGCAGGCAGCAGATTGCGGGTGCAAGTCCTTTTGTGCAGGCCTTCTCCCTCTAGATTGGAAGGGCGACGTAGCACGAGGCACAAAACCGGCAATTGGTGCCGTAGCAAAACATGCATGGATTGTGTTTGTCTTTCTTGCTTTTGTTTCTGCTCTGCTTCACACTTACTTCATGTACCATGACGTTCACACCACGAGGATGGAGCACGAGATTGAGAAAGAAAGGATCGATCTGGAGTGGGATGAGAAACTCTCAGTTGTTTCACGAGCCATACTTTGCTTCAGCAGTTGATTTCTCTGTCTGTCTTGTTTCCTGATTTATCGGCGTTATTATCCAAGGACCTGGCGGAAGGACATGTTCGATTATCACGTCTCACAGCTCGGAGCGCCGAGAGGCTTGCGCAGAAAAATCTGAAAAGAAGAAGAAAAAAAAGAAGAATCAAGCCTCGAGCACAATGGACGACTCTTTGACGCGAAATATGGCCTGTTTTGTTCTCTCTCTCTTTCGTTTTCTTGTCCATTGGGTTGTATCGTGTCTGCATCGCATCAACTACTGCTACAGGGTTTCAGTCGTCGACGTTTCATGTATTTGACATCTACGCTAGCAGTTCGTACTGTCTCTGTGTATAAACTATATCCTAAAGATGCAGTCTCGTCCAATTTGTGCCAACATCATCATATCGATATACTATGGCATTCCACTTATTGGGAGAAGTAGTCGGCATATAGCAGATTCCATCGAAAAGCGGCCTACTATCCTTAGAAGCTCTTCCAGCAATAATAGAGGGGCACAACCTTGCTGGACAGAGTGTCGGGTTGCTTGCTTAGTAGCGGGGTCCCTCCAATTGGCCGCCTCGCCTCTGCCTCTCCACCAAATTTTCTGCCCAGCCCAAACATTCTCCCAGCCTCACCTCTCTTTTTATTTTTTTATTTTTAGCCCCTTCCCTCTCCATTGCCTCTTGACGCCCCTTGGAGAAACACACACTGAAGAATTTCTTCCAAAAGTACATGTTCCGCCGCCTCCTCACAGCCATGGCCGAATCCGCCCCCAAGCGCCTCAAGACCGACGCCGCGAGCTCCTCCTCCTCCTCCGTCCTCGTCGGCACCCACAACGGCCACTTCCACGCCGACGAGGCCCTCGCCGTGCACATGCTGCGCATGCTCCCCGCCTACCGCGACAGCCGGCTGCTGCGCACGCGCGACCCCAAGCTCCTCGAGGCGTGCCACACCGTCGTCGACGTCGGCGGCGAGTACGACGCCCAGCGGAACCGGTACGACCACCACCAGCGCGGCTTCGAGACGACCTTTCCCGGAAAGCAGACGAAGCTTTCGAGCGCGGGGCTGGTGTACATGCACTTTGGCCGGGCCCTCATTGCGCAGCGTCTCGCTGAGGAGAAGTTTGCGTCTGCTGCTCCTTCATCAGAAGAAGAAATCAAGGTCGGTGAGGAGGAGAGCAGCAGCAACAGCGAGGACGTAGACCTGCTCTACAACAAAATCTACGAATCCTTCATCGAGGCCGTCGACGCCCACGACAACGGCATCTCAAAGTACCCCCGCGACGCCCTCGCCGCCGCCTCCATCGAGCCGCGCTTCTCCTCGGGAGGCTTCACCCTCGGCGCCATGGTCGGCCGCCTCAACCCGAACTGGAACGACCCTAAGCCGGCCGACCCCGAAGCCGCCCAGGCGCACGAGGACAGCCTCTTCCTGACGGCCAGCCGGCGCATCGGCGAGGAGTTTGAGCGCACGCTCGACTTCATGACCAAGGCCTGGCTGCCCGCGCGGTCGATTGTAAAGACTGCGTTTGACGCCCGCAGGGAGCACGATGCCGAGGGTAGGATCCTTGTGCTCGGGGGCCAGAGCGTGCCGTGGAAGGATCACCTGTACAGCCTGGAGGAGGCTGAGGGCAAGCCGAGTGTCTTGTATGTGCTGTATGCCGAGGGCACGCAGCCGGGCGCCAAGTGGCGTATTCAGTGCGTGCCTGAGACGGCGGACAGCTTTACGAGCAGGAGGCCGTTGCCTGAGGCGTGGCGCGGGTTCCGCGATGCGGAGCTTGATGGCGTGGCGGGTGTTGACGGATGCGTGTTTGTGCATGCTGCGGGATTCATTGGTGGGAATAAGACGTTTGAGGGCGCGCTGGAGATGGCTGTCAAGGCGTTGGCTTGAAAGGGTCATGGTAGGAAACGTACTCAAGTGTCGTGATGTCAATGGAAAAGGGGCTACATGGGGGCTTTGGTTTAGACGGGACTTGGGTTTTCATGACGGTTAATGACAATACACAAGGGAAAATAAAAAGTTTTTTTGTTCTTTCTGCGATATCACGTAGACGATTGGGCCAGGACAAAAGGAGGGGCCCATTGGAATTCCGGTCTCGATGGTAAAATCTGCCATCATCACAAGCTGCTTTACATGCAGGAAAGGAAGCATCCTCAATAAGCCACCGCTACTTAGATCTGTCATGAAACCAGCTTAGCTACCTGCTGCTGAAACGAAGAAAAGAAAAAGCAGCAAACAACAAAACAAGAATGATATATATCGCAATGCATGTCCTTGCCTTAAAAACGCCAGCCGGTCCAAAAAAGAAGAAGAACGTCTTTGCAGCTTCCATCAAACGCAACCACCCGATAGACCTGGTGGGTAACAAACAAAGCCTCATTACCTCACGCTGTCCGCCTGTCCGTCTCGGCAGAAGTGGGCTTCTCTCCGTTATCCGGGTTCAGGTAGTCGGCGTCCTCTGCCGCCTCGTACTCCGACACCAGGTCAGACACCACCTGCCTCGCCTCGTCAAACTCGTCCAGGTTCTCGGAAAATGGCGCCGTCTTCTTGTAGCCCTCGATGAAGGCATTGCGCTTGCGCATGCCGTCGTACTGTTTCAATATCCTCTTGAAGAGCTGCACCGGATTTTGCAGTTAGCGACAACAAAACAGACAAGAAGAAAGGAAAGACATGAACACGAACCGTAGCAATGCTCGTGTGATTCGCCAGCATCAGCCCGCTCACGCGATGGCTCATGGGCATGTATGGGCTCCTCTTGGTCAGCGCAACCTGGATGCTCGCCGGCCCCCACGGGATAAACGTCGCCAGCTTGCGCTCCCGGATACGCAGCAGACTCTTGTGCACGTCCGTCGGGTCGACCTCGCCCTGGATCACGTTGAGGATGGAAATGTAGCAGCTCTTCTTGCCCGGCACCGTCGACACCATGCGGTTCTTTGGCTGCAGCAGCCGCCTCATCACGTCCAGCACCGTCGTCTTGCGCACCGTCTTGGCCTGCTCGACCTGGTCGCCGGTGAAGGGCGTGTAGGCCGTCATGAGGAAGTGGCATCGCGGCGTGGGTATCAACGAGGCCAGGATGCTCACGAGGTCGTTGTGCATGTAGCCAGGGTAGCGGAGAGTCGTCGTACTCGCCGACATGACAGTGGCAACCTATCGCGCATTAGCCCCCCCTCCTTTGTTCCACAGGAAACATCGTGTGCCACGTTATGTTGAGCGTCACTCACCAGCTGGTTCGTCTGTTGAAACGAAGGCTCCTGAACGTGCAGTCTATCCGCCGCAATATGGGACAACGCGCCATTGTCCAGCACGACAACCGAATCAGCATTCTGCGTCAGCCTGCGCATGGAGAGAATGCTGTTATAAGGGTGAACCACAACGTCCGGTGCGTTCGTCGTGTTAGGAAAGACGGAATACGTCTGGATAATCTTCTTCGGGAACCGATCGTTGAGCCGCTCGAGGAGAAACGATCCCAGACCCGAGCCAGTACCTCCAGCGATGGAGTGCAGCATCATGAAGCCCTGCGCGCACAGTCATTCTCGTCAGTCATGGTCTCGGCTTGAACAAAGCAGGCAATAAGGGGGGGGGGGCGGTTCGTCACCTCTAGCGAGTCGCTGCCGTCGGCCTCTCGGTCAATCATCTCCATCACATCCTCGTAAACCGCCTCACCGCTCTGATAACCATCACCCCAGTTATTCGCCGCCCCCATGCCATTCTTGCCGACGTAAAAGTTTTCGGGATTGTAAATGTTTCGGTACGGCCCCGTCTGGATGCTATTCAACACCTATGCTCCGAGAAAAAACAAAGCAGACACATTAGCACTTGCAGTATTGGACGTAGGCTCCCAAGCACAAGCCCGCGGCAAGGGAGAGGAGGACAAGGGAAAGCATACTCGGGGTTCGAGGTCAATGAGAATCGCCCGCGGGATATATCGCGTATCGTCGCTCTGGTAGTAGAACACGTCCTTCCTGTCGCCCCCTTCCGTCGCAAAGTCCTCGAGGTTGCCGTCTTGGCTGATTCCGTGCTCCTGGCAAAGCTGCTGCCAGAACTGACTCCCAACTAAAAGCACAGCCATGACTCGTCAGTATATATCCTCTCAAGTCCAATTCAGCAGCCAGTCTCCTTTGGCGCAGCATGTAGATATACGCGCGACAGCGCAAACAAAACAACGCAAGCTCAAGGGAGGACAGAAAGGAAACCCAGAAGCGCAACACTCACTGCTGTTACCGCATTGTCCAGCCTGGATGGTGATGATTTCGCTGCACAACAACAACAAAGTCAGAACATCTCAGATCCGTCAAGCTTTCTTCGGTCAACACAAGAGGCAGTCGGAATCAAATCATACCGCGGCATAGCTGTTTCGTTGCTTCTTTGTTGCACTGCAAAAGGCTTCTCGTTTTCCCCCCGTTGGTTTCGAAAGAAGAGGTTTAGCTGCCAGACGCGCCAAACGCGCAGCGCAACCTTTGGGCTTGGGTTCCCCAGTGCCGCTATCGATAGCGATCGCCCCGCCCCCACGACACGGGAAGCTGCTCTGTTGACGTCGGACTTGGTTGACCGTTTTCACTCTGGTATTAATACGCATACGGCCATTCAGGATAGAATCGCTGCAAAAGTAATGGTAAATACTAATAAATGGCAATTGACAAACTCATTACGGATATCAATCATCAAACAGCATTCTAGTGCGTAGTAAATGTCAAGGCATGTTGTGCATTGTGAAAACGCTAGACTTTTATATCTCTACACCCCTCCACCACCACCACCGAATTTCTGAATAACGTACAGCAAAGATTACAATATCATGATGTTGCGGGAAGAAGAACAAATCATCATAATCAATAGGCGTCAGGGCCCATGGGGATATATAGAGCTCATTCTTCACAAACCCTAGCCGAAAATCAAAGGGGGAAAAAGCCGACGGCACCAGCTTCGAAACCTTCCAACGCCCGCAATGCTTGAAAACGACAAACCGCAAGCTCCCTCATCCCTCGCTTCTTACCTAGTAAACAGCCCAGTCGTAGAGTACATGTCGCTCCTCCGCATTATTTCTTGTTGAACGCCTTGTGCTTCTCCAACGCATCACCCAACTCCTTCGCCAGTTCCTTTGTCTTGACCTGGATCATCCAAGTCTCGAGCCCGTCGCCCGTTTCGTTAGACGTCGTCATCTTCACATACTTCTCGTTCGCCTTGTACGACAGATCCGGCAGCACAATGCGGTTCATGGCCACGTTGCCCCTGGGCTCCGCTCGCAAAAGCAGGCGGACGGCGCTGGTTTCCTTGTGCTTCAACAAGCGCAGAGAGCCAACGCCCTTGGTGACCCAGGGATTCTTGGCCTTTTTCTCCTCGCCCTCCGAAGTCTCCCCCATGGGGACAAACTTGAGCACCTTTGCGCGGACCTCGTGTAAGATGTCCTCGTCCTTCTCCGCACCCTCCGTCAGGCTGATCTGCTCGTGCTTCTCGCCTTCCTCGTCATTGTTCTCAGCGGCGCCAGTGCTGGACTTCACTTGGGCCGATGGTTCCGGGGTCCCGCCGGCTGGGGTGGTGGCCAAGCTAGAGCCTCCCCCGAAGTTGAATGGAGAGTCTAGACCCGACGCTTTAGCGGGGCGATTTTCCGGTGCGGAAAAGGTGACTTACTTGTCCCGGTGGTCGACGACCCACCAGCTGGTGGTGCGAGGTTGAACCCGGCGGAAGGCTGGCTTGGTCCAGATCCAAAGGTGAACATGGACGATGACGGCTGGCTCGCAGGAGCCGAGGCAGTAAAGGCCGGCCCGCTGCTGGTCGACGCCGAGGCGCCACCAAACAGGGGTGCCGGTGTTTGCGAAGGTTGACTGCTGCTGCCGCTGCCGCCGCCAAACTGGAACAGTCCTCCAGTGCTTCCCGAGCTTGCGGGCTGGGAAGACGACGATCCAAACGAGAAAGTCGGTGCCGATGCCTGAGTCGAGTTTCCACCAGTAGTGCCGGATGAGAAGGGGTTGCTGAACCCGCCTGCGGAGGCGGAGGCCCCTCCCGCTCCGAAGTTGAAGTTGAAGCCGCCGCTGCCAGTGTTGTCTCCAGAACCCGATTGGGTATTTGAAGAAGCAGCGCCAAAAATGGGGGCCGGCGTGGGCGTGGAGCTCTTGGTGTTGTTTCCAAACAAGTTGGAACCTGAGCTGGTGCCGGTTGTGCCGGTTGTGCTGCCGAAGCTGAAGAGGGGAGGTGCTGTTGTAGTATCTGTGCCGAGGCCAAACTGCTTCTTGGCCGGCGATGTGTCGTCCTGCTTCATTGGGCTTCCGGAGAACAGGTTAGAGGTGGCAGCAGGAGGGGACTTCGGGGCGCCGAACAGGGACTTGGCAGCCGCCTGAGAGGTCTCGGTAGGCTTGGGACCAACCGCCGATCCAAAGGTAAACAGGGACGTAGGTGCGGGCTGTGTGCTAGCAGGGGGGGAGGGATCCTTCTTGGCCGCCACGGAGGCCGGAGCACCAAACAGAGAAGTTGTAGGAGCCGGAGCAGTACCAAACAAGTTGGTGCTAGAGCCGAGAGTCGGCGTCGCCTTGGCAGGCTCAGAAGCAAGTCCAAACAGATTGGTAGACGTGGGAGCGGGGGCTGGGGCTGGGGTGCCAAACAAGTTGGTCGAAGCAGCTGGAGCAGGAGCTGCGGGCGGTGCTGCAGACGCACCGCCAAAGAGATTGAGCTTAGGAGAGGAAGATGGGGCAGGGGGGGCAGTGGCACGAGCTGGCTTGACTGGCTTGACTGGCTTGATGCCAAAGAGGGCTGCAGAATCGCCAGTGAAGGGAGGCGGATCCGGTATCGCTTGAGTGTGCTTCCCAAGGAGGCCAGTAGGCGCCGAGGGAGCGGATGTCTTCACATCACCGAAGAGCTTGGAGGTCGTCTCCGAATTCCCAATGGCACCGAACAGGTTGTCAGTGGCTGCGGGCTTCGCGGGTTCGCTGGCCTTGGCGGGCTCGGCCGCAGCAGGCTTGAAGCCAAAGAGCGAGGGCGCGGAGGTCGGGACGGCAGACACCTTGGGTTCGGAGAACATCTTCTTGGCCGGCTGGGAGTCATTTTCCTTATCAGACTCTCCGCCAGTCACGTCAGTCTCCGAAAGAGGCGTGTTTGCCTTGGAGCTCTGGTCCTGCTTGGAAACGCCAAAGATGTTGTTGGATGGTGCGGTGCTCTTGGGTGCGAAGATGGAACCAGCAGAAGTCGAAGTGGGCTTGCCAAAGAGCGAGCTGGTCTGAGAAGTAGACGCCGCAGGGCCGAACTTGAGAGGAGTGCTGGCGGGATTCCAGGTTTGGTTCAGGGATGAGGTTGAGGCCTTGGGGGCGACCTCCTCCACAGCAGCAGAGTCGTCAGCACGAATAGGCTGCCCATCCGAGCCCTTGGTGATGCGTTCAAACAGGCTGCGTCCCGGGGTGCTCTCTCTGGTGCCCGCAGTGGTGGACGCGCCGGTGCCGAACAGGGTCGACGGCTTAGGGCTGAACAGGTTGGATCCAGCTTGGAGCGTAGCCTCGTCGGCGCCGCTGGGTTCGTCGCTCTGAGTAGCTTCTTGGCCCTCTTCCGTCTCGTCGTTTTCCTCAACGTCTTCGTTTTCAGATTCAGACTCGCTTTCGGCATCAGCCTCAATTCCGCTGTTCTTGGCAGAACTAGCATCAGACAGGTAACCAAAGATGTTGTTGCCATTGCTGACGCCGTTTGCCGGGGGCTTCAGGCTGTTGTTGAAGACGGAGCGAGAAAGCTTGCCATTGGCGCCGTTCTTCTCGACCGCCTTGACGGGGGCGGGAGAAACGGCCGGCTTGCTGGCGATCTTTTCAAAGAGGGATTTGGCGTTGGAAGGCGTCGCTTTCTGCAGCTTGGATGGGGACTCTTCGTTGGTGGACGTCCTTCTCTTGTTGTTTTTGCTTGGGGCCGGAGTAGCGGCAGTAGGCTCGTCGACTTCATCACTGACGGTAGCCCTTCGCTTGCCTGCCGTGGCCACATTCTCAGTGGCATCAGCAGTCTCCTTGGACAGGTTGTCGTCGGCCTTTCGCTTCATGGAGGGGGCCCGCTTGGTGGGGGTGCCGTTCAACGCTTCGGCAGCCTCCTCCTCCTCCTCTTCAGGGTCGGGCAAGCCATGCTCCCGTCGCCATCTCTTGAGAACTTCCTTGGACGGCTTGACACTCTGGAACTCGTAGAGTCCATATCGAAGTAGGATGATGCTTCGGCTCTTTTCAAACTCCTTGGCAAAGTTCATAATGTTGAGCTTCCAGCTCTTCTTGCAGAAGATTTCGTTGGCGGCGTATTTCAGTCGGCGCAGATCGAGGATGCAGAAGAACTGGCGACGCTGCTCGTCGTCGAGGTTGGGGGGGCAGAGGTGGGCCAGAAACTGGTCGGCATAGATGGATCCCTTAGAATTCCAGTCCTTTGGAACCTTGCTGGCGAGGACCTCGCCCGTCAACTCTGGGGGCGGCGATGCGATGCGCATGTTGAACAGCTCCTTGTCGGAGGCGTTGGCGGCCAGGCCGCGCGGTGTCGGGCGGGCGGTCGTCTCGCGATAGACGCGGCTCGGCTCGGGAGTCACGCCGGGGGCAAACACCTTCTTCATCGTGCTCTTGGGCAGGGTGGGCGAGAAGGTGCTCGCCGTGGGGGGGCTGTCGACGGCGGTTGCGCCAAACAGGTTGGTGCGTGACGAGGCGACATCGCGGTGGACGTTTGCATCGCGATTGATCAGCAGCTTGCGCGACGTGGCCGTCGTGGGGGTTCCCAGGCGCTTGGCAAAGGGCGTCGCGACGTAGGTGCGCTTCGCAAAGGGCAGAGGAGGACGTGTCTTGGGCGTGCCATTTCCAGCATCCGCGGCGTCATATTCGCCGGGCAGGGCGAAGGTAACCATGGCGGCAGCCAGAGGGGGATGCGGATGGAGCAGATGCAGAGACGGAGAGAAGGGCTGAGGTTATGCTTGGGAAAGGTGAGGGTAGATGGAGACACGGCGCGACAATGGTTATACTGTTGCGGCGTCGCGTCAGGGCAGGTGGATGAATGCGGCCAAGGGGGGTGAACAAGAGGCAGTAGTAGTAAGCCCGCAAGTCCAAAGGCGACGGAGGAAAAAAAAAAAAAAAAAAAAAAAAAACAGTCCGGCCAAGGGCAAGCTCTCGCAAACGAGCACCAGATGATGTGGCGATGATTTCACCTCAAAAACAGGAGATGACAACAGAGAATAAAATCGCCGCAAATAAAAAAAAAGATGAACAGCGACCAGAGAGAGAAGATCAGGGGCTCGTCGCAAGAGTCGTCGCGATGCAGCGGATGCAAGTCGGTGGCATCCAGCGGTGCAAAAGAGTTGACACGACAACCAGCGGGCGGCGTGTGCGGTGGTGAATAATTTTTTTGGCGGCAGTCGGGAGAGCGCAGGCAAAAAAGGTCGAGTGATGGCCCGCAGCTTGTCTTTGGCGGCACCGCAAAGAGAGCAGAGGAGGGAAAAAAGAGAGACGGGCGGCGCGGCAGGAGCAAGTGCAAGGGGCCACCAATATACGTTACAGAGGCCGGGCGAGAGCGACTGGTGAGTGAGTGGGAGGTGAGTGGGTTCGCGAGCAGGGCAGGGAAGGAGCGCTAGGGCCCGCTTTTTCTGCGCCCCTCAGGTCCAGCGCCGGCCTTGGTTGGCTGGCCGCTGCTGGTGCGTGCCTCAGGCGACGAGACGTGAAGAGGATGGAAGTGAGGAAACAGTGAGAGGAAACAAGAGTGTGTGCTCACTTAGGTAAGCAGCGCAGTCCGTCGACTGAGGTGGAAGTCAGTTGATTGCTGCGACCAGACGCAGGTGATCGGCTGACCCTCGGCCGAGGTCACTGCTACCACTGCGCTACCACCACACGGCACTCTCTAACGTCACTTCTGTCAGATTTTTCCCTCGCCTCACACACGGATGAGCTGCCTTTTGCTGCTCCGCACACTGACGCATCGTAGCCCGGCCAATCGCGCCGCAGCCGGTCGCAGACGCCGTGCAAGTGCAAAGTACCTATCGCGTACCCCGTACGAGCACCACCCACTTATCTCATCACACCAAGCGCCTGCCTTGCACACGATGGAAGTGTGGAAAGAGAGCAAAGCGGACGATGAAAGGATGCAAAGCATTGTCACGAGACATGCACAGGGACAGGAGGACCAAAAAAAACGTAAGGAAATAATAAGCTAGGAATAACAGCAGATATGAGCGTCCTAATCCTAATCGAATCCTATAATTACTACACGCAAATCAAACGAGCGTGGAGCCCGGCCATGAAAGCCCAGAGGCTGGAATGCAGTTGTGCTGGCTGCCAGCAAGAAGGGGAGATAGAGAAAGAAGTACAGTACTGTGGCCCGTTTGTTAGGGAGAAGAAGAAAGAAGGAAACGATAACGCATGCCAAAAAAATGAAAGCCCATACTCCGTGATAGAAAATTCTTGTTCGTCAAACCCATCCCCTACTTCCTCAGCCTCTTGCTATCGCGGTCCGTGAGGTACTCCTCGTCAGAGGCATCCAGGATGTCGTACTCTTCATCCGTCAGGAAGCCGTCATCAGAGCCGTCCCACTCGTACTCCTCGCCACTAGCAGTCAAAGCATCAGTCTCTGCGGCGGTTCCAGCAACAGACTCGGCCTGGTGCTCTTCGTGCATGCTAGCCTGGGGTGACTCCTTGTCAAGCTTGGGGAAAATCATGACACTGTCGGTCTGGGTGTCCTCCTCCTTCTTGGGTTCCTCAACGGCGGGGGCGGCCGGGGCCTCAGCGGGGGGCATTCGCACGCTGACATCGCACCAGAGACGGTGGCCGAACTTGAATCCGCTAGGCGTAGTCAAGCGCCAGTAGGAAATGATCTGCCCGGCGCGGGCAGGCGTGCGGAGCAGCACGGTGAAGGGGAACTCGTTGCCGGGGGCAAGCGGGGCGTAGCACACCGTCGACTCCGATGCCGAGACAAGCTCCGAGATGCCGGCAGGGTGGGCAGAGTCGACGTGGCCCATGTAGTCGCCGCCAACAAACTTGACGGAGCACCCAGCAGGCCAAGTGGTGGTGCCCTCGTTGCGAAGCACCCACGTCTGCTCAAAGACGTGGTTGGGAGGCATGATTGTGCCGTCAGTCACCGAGTCGCGAAGGAAGACGGCCCGGAGGTCATTCTCGTCGACTGGTGCTGCGACATCGGCAACCTTTTCCTCCTTGGGCTCCTCCTTGATCTCCTCCTTGATCTCCGGGGTGGGCTCCTGCTTGACCTGGGCTTCCTCCACCTTGGGCTCTTCGGGCTTCACGTCAACGACCGTCTGTACGCGGTTGATGGTGTTGCTGTCGCTCAAAGTCGACGTCTCCGAAGCCTTGGGGACGTTCCTGGCACGGTCGCCCATGGGAGGCATGCGCTTGCCATCCTGATGCTCCCCAGTGGTAGTGACGCTCACATGGCGAACGGGCGTCTTGAACTTGATGAGAGGATGCGTCTTGTTGTGCTCATTGGCGGGGTTGGCCTCGCAGCTTGCGCAGAAGTCGAGGTCGTGGCAGACTGCGCACTTGTAGCGCACGCCTCTGATGTAGGTGGGATAGCCCTGGTTCTTGGAGCACAGGGGCCCATCGCAGCAGATGCCCATGTGCACTGGCTGAGCAACCGCTGCCGCATCCGCAAGAGGCTCGTAGATGGGCACGAACCGATGGCTCATGTGGGTGACGGCTGCGCTGAGAACGCAGGTGTCGCAGTAGTCCCAGTCAGGGCAGTCCAGGCACTTGTGGCGGACACCAGTGATGTATTTGTCACAGCCGTCGCAGATGGCGTTGTGTGCCTGGTTGCGGCCAGCCTTCATCTTGATGGCGATGTGGTCTGGGATACGGCTGCCCGTGACCGCAGGGGCGAAGGAGTGCTTGGGGTGGTGGCCATGGGCATCCTTGCCGAAGCATGCATGGCAGAGATCATAGTCCTCGCAAGTTGTGCAGTGGAGGAACTCGGCTTCGGGAAGTTCTTGAACGCAGCAGTTGCACGTTCGCATGTTGCTCAGGCTGGACCACCTGGTGATGGCACCGCCGACAAATGGAACGGTGTGGGGAGTGAAGGCGTTGGCGGGAGCTGTGTTTCGCTCCTCAGGAGTCGGCTGAGCAGTGAAAAAGGCCGGAGCCTTGTCGAGGCGAGCAGCTTTGAGCGCCTCAGTTTCCTCCTTCTCAGGAGTTTCAATTGAGGGAAGAACGGAGGCCGCCTTGTAGAGACCCTCGATGTGCTTCTTGAGCTGGGACTTGGGCTCAATCTTCTCGGTGAGGCTGGCAATGAGCTGGCCGTCGATCATTGTTCGCTTGATGAGCCAGTGGTTGTCATCATAGCAGCTGACTCCCTCGTCAACGCAGTTTTGGCAGAGATCAAAGTCGCCGTCATCGCACGTCTGGCAGTGGTAGTGCACGTCCGAAACCGTCTTCTCACAGTTATTACAGCAGACGGCAAATGGAGCGGCAGTGATGACGGGATGGAGCGGCTCCGGCGGCGGAGCAGGAGGCTGAGCGACTCGGGGAGCACAGAAGTGATCGAAAGAAGAGTATGTCGACCGGTGATCGAACACAGCAGAGTCCATGGGAGGCGCTGTGAAGACGGCCGATAGCTTCTGAGCGACGGGAGCCTCGGTCTCCTCCTCAGCCCTGGCCGTCTCAGCGGTGTCGAGCTGGGTAGATGAAGCGGTTCGCAGAGGCAAGTCAATGCCCGAGAGCAGGGTGGCTGACGATGAGGGCGCTTCAAACGGCATTGACATGTCCGTCGCAGGTTCGTTTGTCGAAGCGGACTCGTCGCTTTCGAAAGGTGTAGTCTTATCAGTGGTCTCGTAGGTCTCTGCTACGGACTCTTCCGGCTCGTCTTCCACCGTGGCGGGCTTTGGCGTAGTCTTTGGCTGCGTCTGGAGAGTAGACACACGCAGTTTCAGCTTCGACTTGGCTTTGGCCGCTCTGTAGAGCTGCTTGTAAATCGGCACGTTGATAGGGTCGAGAACGACAAAGGAGCCGGCTGAATCGGAGTAGCGCTCGATGATGATCTGGTCCTCTGGCGAAATGCGAAGGAAGAGTCGAATCTGAGCAAAAAGGCATTAGCATCTCTCGAACCTCAAAAACGGGTCTGCGTGCAGCCGCTAAGGCACCGGTAAATAGCGGCGTTGCCTCAACAAGAAAAGCAAAGGCCGCGGGATGGGGAACAAGAGTTAAGCGTGATGGGTCAACGACAAAATGAACAAGGCTTGATGGCACCCACGTTATCTTCAAGCGTGTGCGGCACCATGTCACGCAGCGGCATCTTGACCCGACGAAGAGTGTTCTCGTAAGTCACCTTGACGGTGATCAAGGCCTCCGGGCCAGGCTGGGGGATGGAAGACATGATGGGCAGCCTGTGGTGATGACGACGACGATGCCGTGTTAGCAATGTTGGATACAGATGCAGAAAGCAGCCTCGATAAATCACACGCGGTGATGGAGGCGGTGGGCGACCGGGGAGCGAGGACTCACGCGATAACAACTTTCCCCGTCGGCCGGTGTTATCGAGAGCAGGCTGCTCAGGTATAGAAAGGACGGCCGGTGGAGGGCAGATGGCGATATTTAGAGGCGATGCAAGGCGATGGGATGATGTGTTGGTGGAGAAGGAAACGGGCGATGGCTGAAGGAGGAGAGAGAAGGAGGAGAGATGACGATTGCGTTGGCTTGGTTTTGGCTTGGTACGGTATGGCCTGGGAGAGAAGCTCCAGGCGCCGCTGACTGGGGTACAGTAGGCGAAGAGCCGGGGGACTGGAGACCTGGAGGCGCTGGTACTGGCGCTGGTACTGGCACCGGCACTGGCACTGGCGCGACTGCAGGTGGTGCATGTATGTACATGGTACTCCGGGGCGTCCTCTGCACACCTTACCGTGGCCTGGACCTGTACGAAGCGGGCTCGGGTATGACCTTTGTGCGGCTACAAGACCTTACGTGACAGCGCAGTGACGCAGGCTTCGGCTCTGCTCTGGCTCAGGCTCTGGCTCTCGCACACCGACAGGGAGCGGCTGGGGCGATGAGGCAACAGTGAACTGAGGTGGACTGGCACCGGACCCTTTCTGCGGGCGGGGCCAAAGTCAAGTACTCGGTACTCCCGTCTTCATGGCGAGTGTCGACGAGTCACCGCGACCTCTGCAGCGACACGGGCAGCAGCACCAGCTCGGCGCCCTCCAGGTACCGCGACGGTATTTGGTACCGTACCCGCCCACATCTAATGTGTGCCACCGACCGCCGCTGCAGCGCTTGTCAGTGCCAGGTGGGCCGAGATAACTCGCTACCTTAGCCGGTGGGGCGCCACAGTGCAAAGCAAAGACAGTCTGGAGAAGGATTCACGTAAGCCGCGGCAGATGTTACAGTGCACTGCGCGTAGTGGAATACTGTATGCGCCCTGGAACGGGTGACGGAAGGAAGCCCTGCCGGACTGGAGCCACTGGCGGAGGGCGAACAGCAGCCAATGGCGACGCGGAGCGAAGGAATTCCATCGCCAAAGGCGGTCAAGCGCAGATCGATTCAATCGTTGCTTGCACGCTGCACGAGAAGAAGAGTTGAGCGAGACAGAATGAATGTGAATGAATGGATGAATGAATCAATGGATGAGTGGAAAAAGAAAAGAAAAAACAAATGGACACAGAGACCTGAAGCCTGTCTCAAAACACTGCTTCACATGTGCCGCCTCTGTGTATCTCTGGGTAGTAACTGTACCAGGCAGCGACAGTGGCTAATTGATACTTTCCGGTCTTGCAGCGGCGGCTTCAGCTTACATGTACTCGGACGGTATCCTCGGCTCTCCTCCATTCCCTCAGCTTCTGCCAGGCTGCCGCTGCGATCGGGAGGCCAACAAGCCAAGGTCTCGAGGCGAACGTGGACATACTACTTCTAAGAAAGCTGCCTGTTAGCTGGCAAGCTGGCTCGGATGCCTGGACGTTGGCTTGCCACTCGTCTCGCAATGCAAGCAATCGGATGAGGCGAAGCACCCAGACGGGACGCAAGAGCGTCCAGGCTGCAGACGAGCCACGCCAGCGCCTCTCCCTCCCTCCCATCCAGTCGCCAGTCAAGCCCGTCCACACTCACCACTCACACTACAGACGCTCACACTGTCCTCACGATTACTTGTACACTTGGGACTCGATGGCTCAAAGGCCTCCCTTGCCTCGCGGGCGCCCCCTCTCAGGCGACAAGCTGAGTACGAGGACGCAGCTCGTCTCCCGTCCAGTGGTCGTGTTTACTGCGGTTTCAGGACTCGATTCTCGACTCGAGGCTCGCGATTTGCCGCCACTGAGGAGCGCGGGATTGTGCAATCGTGCAGGCAGACCCCCGACTACGACAACTCCGAGCTCTTTTTGCAGGCTGCACCTTGAAGCGAGGCAAACACTGGCCCGAGGCCCGATGTCACCTCATTCGGTGAGCTTTCTCATCACGTACCCAGTACTCGCGGCTCATGGTGCAATGGGCAACCCGTCCCTTCAATGCTAATCTGTACAAATATTACCATCACATTCTACACAAGTACTTCGTACAGAGCACAATACTAGTAGTACTACTTGGTATGTGAAGCATCGCGGCTTGTATGGCTCCGCTGGGTCCGCGTGATGCGCCGAATGCGGCAACGCATCGTGGCACCACGACCAGCATCTCGGAGCAGCATCCCAAGCAGGCCTCTTTCATACTTGTACATGGACTGACTGATTAGCGGTCATTGGGGAAGGACAGACCACGTCGTGAATCGCACACACGGACGAGCAGCGTTCGATTCTTAATTCATTCTTCAAGACAACGAGCTGATCGACCAACTGATGTGCAAACAGGCTCCTTGGTCGCGGCACCCTCGGAACCCGCCCATGTGTCCTAGACAGTACGCAGTAGGGTTTGACCACATCTGCTACTACTACTACAGCAGGTGGAACATTGATTTCCTTGCCTTGAAGCTGTTGGTGTTGGCGTTCAGTCCTCTGTACTTCCATCATACTGCTACTTACAATACGTACCTATGGAAGACTCCAAGGTTCGATTTCTGTCTCAATGTCTCACATTAGCGTTTAATCGATCCAGGAAGTGAGATTTGCCGCTGCTACTACTACTAGTAGCTCCATGTGAACAAGCTGCGAGTGCTACAACTGTCTTGGAATTAGTACTCGTACTGCTATCTGCCTCAGAGCTTTGGCTCTTACAGTCGTATCGTGGGCCAAATGCGTTCCTCCCTTGCAGGTCAATAAGCCCATTGATTCATATGAGCATTAATATCACATCAAACTTCGCAGACTTGACCTCCCCTGCGGCCGAATGCTCATTAGTACCAGCTAGGTAGTAATAACCAGTATCAGCAGCCACTTTTCGACCTGATTACTTGGAAGCCCGCATACACTTTGTGCCACCAGTCAGAAAAAGTGATTCATCTTCCATCACGACTCCCTGTCTTTGCCTTGTGTTACTCGGACGGCAGATGAAGGCTGCTGATTCTCTGTAGCAGGGGGGCTGAAAACCCCAGTAGGTAGGTCGTAGAAGAGATCGACCATATCACTCAACAGGTGAAAATGGTGACACGACTGGGGAGACATACCGTTGTCTGCCATTTCGTGGAGTGGGAGGTAAGTGCGGAATTCAGCATTTGTGCTTTCCCAACGCCTTACCTTTGGTGAATCGAGATGAAGCAGTAATGATTAAACCATGTCTGACAGCATTGGCCACTCCGGTGTTCGTCCTGGCATACTCGTATATCGCAATCACCAATTTGCCCATGACATTGCCAGCTTCAAGTTACATCACTCCTTTGATGACCAATATATATTTCTTACTGGAGGCTTCTGTGAATCCAGGTGTCACACACCGAATTTCCTTTACAGACACTCTTTGGTTTTAAACCAACCCCTATTAGACATGGAGCAGATTATCCATCCCAGTCTGCCCTTTATGCTCACTAACACCCGTCACTTTCCCAGCCAAAATTTCCCCTACCCTATTCCATTAAACCACCCCTCTTACAAGCAACACAACTCCGCAAATATTCAGCATCATCGATACTTGAATCAATCAACCAACCATTCCCCCGCCAGCTTTCTCTTCCCAATTTCCCAGCCCGCTCGCCGTTCTGACAATGACATCAATCCTACCTAGACGATTTCTTCCTCCCCAACGCCACTTAGTAGCCAGGCGGGAGCCCTCGCGGAGGCACTCCGGGCAAAAAGCTTCCGAAGGCGCTCCAGCAACTTGTTGCCAAGTTTCATCAACGTCCTTGCGAAAAAGGTTCCTCCAATTTTCATCCTGTGATTCTTTGTGCGATGATTGGGTATCGAATAAAATGGGTGTGACGCGATGAGGGGAAACGACAAAGAGGAGAATTCGGAGTGGAGGAGGAGGGAGTTTGCATATTATATACTCTGTTGATAGTTTTGTACAAGTTCAATGTCAATCATAAAGCTTGCCTATGGCATTGATGTTTTCAACCGGCATATGCCTAATCATGTTCAACCGATATTCATCTCGGGTCCAGCAGAAAACAACCTAATAGAATGTCTAATAACAGCCCAGGAAGCCTCCAGGATCAAAGCTACTACCTACCTTACCTACCACAAGCCGACGTCTCAGCGATACAAGTCTTATCAAGTACCTTCTAAGAATGAGAAGGATGCTAACCCACCGAATGGATCTCGATTCACGTCAGGTTGCCATCAATCACAGCTCAGACACTTGAAGATAGCAATACTTTTGTTATAATGTCTTGAAAACGCCTCACAGCAGCATTCGCATCTTTACAGGCAACAAGACAGAGAAGCAAAGCCCTGAATCTCGAAAGAACTTCCACAGAGCACAACTCCCATTCCCCACAGAATTTTCTGAAAAGTTACTACATAAAAATGCTCTCAAACATATAAAAATACATCGCCAAACGCCGCTGCCATGAAACAGCACAGAAACGAATAGCAAAACAGAAAAGGCGAACAGAACCAAATCCAGGCTGGCAATAGAGGGCAATGGTAAGAAGCCGCTACAGGATAGCTACTTGTGCGTTTTTTCCCCTCCCCCTTGAACACAGGCCAAAGGAGAGAAAAAGAGATGAAGATGATTGGGAGGTAACAGATGAATGCAACAAACACTTTGCAAGAATGCTCTCGTTTCCCATATCACTTCTGGCCGTCGACTGTCCCTACTAAGTAAAGAGGACAATGGCCCAAGTAACGACTTCAACTGATGATAAACACGACAAAAGCCACAAAGAGCACCTTCAGCCTCCAACTCCTAATGATTGTTTTTTGTTTTCAAGAAGATATCATGCCGCAAGACAACACGCGCGCACTCAGAAAGACACGCACGTCAGCGCTACAATGCTCCTGGAGTTCCCAGCTGGCCGATCCAGGATCTGATTGAAGTATGAAACATCGAACGAAAAGAGAATGAGAAGTAGAAGAACAAGAAGAAGAAACCCATGATTTTGAGCACCCAACCACCCAACCGCGAACAGGGATAACAATGATACGTAGAAACCCAACCCATGACACCAAAGGGAGAATGAGTCGATAGAAAAAGTTGCAGGAGAATGAGAGAGCTCGGAAAATTTGCGATAGGGTTATTAGGATCGATAGGCGTTTGAGAAGCCGGTGAGAATGCCACCCGCACAGCTCTCAATACTATTGAGGGTAGAAGACCATGCCCGGTGCGGGTTGAGGATAGTAGAAGCCGTCGGGGCTGGGTGTCACCATGCCTCCCATTCCCATCACACTAGGCTGATATGGTTGCGAAGCGGGGTATGGCTGATAAGGGTTCACGGACGGAAGCTGAGAAGCGTCGTAATAGTAAACCATGCCGTTGACTTCCTGGGCCACCAGGTTAGTGTTGGGAGGGGGTGGCGGCCCAGTCACAGCGACACCAGGCTGCTCGACCGGATTCTGAGGTGTAAAGCTTCCAGGCATGCCCGGTTGTCCCCCGGGGACAAATGGAGGGGCGGTGACAGCAGAGGCGGGCATGCCAGGACCCGAGTAGCCGTGCGGATAGTAGTATCCCGGCTGAGGGTGAGGAGGGTACATCTGGCCGCCGTAGTAGGCCGGCTGTCCATACGTGGTCGGCTGGAACGGCGCGGCGTGTATAGCTCGTTCGGGAATCTGGGACAAGGGCGTCCCCGTTGAGACGTGGGCCGAGTAGGACGGCCGACGAGCATGCGGGTCCTGGTATCCGTTCGTCATCTGCACGGGGACCTGCTGGTGGAAGGCTTGCTGGAAGGCGGGAGCATTCTGCGTCATGGTTGGCGACTCGATGTCTGCAACGGAAATGTTTTTCTGGGGGCGAGGCTGGTGCATGGGGATCGACGCAGGTAAGTTCTCCTGGAAGCTTGGCTTCTGCGGAAGGGGATGCGTCTGCGGCTGGGGCATGTCGACAATGGACGCCTCCGGGCCAGCCATCGGCACGGGTTCGAGGTGGCCCGGTGGCACCTCGACTCCGACAGGCGGCGGCATATTGAACGTTTGCGGAGCCGGAGGGAGACGGACAACGGGCCTGGCATCGGCCTGAGGTGCGGGACGGGAGATGATGGACCCTGTGGGCGAAAAGACGGCGTCTCTGTCATGCATGACGATGGACGACCGCCTGCTGACGGCGGCGCTGGGGGAGTAGATGCTGCCGCCGTAGTAGCTGCCACCGAATATGCTGGTCCTCCGTGAAAATCCGCCCATGGAGCCCCATGCAGACCGGGGCTTACCTCTAAGCCGTTGCTGGTTGGGGCGTAGCGCACGTGGAATAAAGGTGAATGACCGGTCCGAGGCAGGGAATATGTATCTCGGAGGGTGGTTCGGCAGTGAGATCCGCACAGGCTTGTCCCTACGCAAGGGTGGGCGGTGGTCAGGGAGCTTTGTGTACTGCTTGACGGGGAATCCGGGAAAGATCCTGGAAAGCCCGATCACCGGCAGAGCGACGCGGACCTGAGTGTTGCCAATATGTTTCTCGGTCGATAAGGTCCTGTTGATGGGAGTAGCGCTGGGCTCACACGTAGGGATGAAGCCATTGCCGTTAGGCGGCCCCTCCTCATGAGCAGCTTGTCGAGCGCGGCGCGGAATCACGTCTGCGACAGTCTCGTGCATGTCGTGCGTCCATGGCGAGTTCGTAGTAGGATCGGCGGGCTGGTGCAGTTGGCTAGTTGATGGGAGGTTAGCGAAAAGGTCACCAAACAAACAGAGGTCTGCAAAAGTGAGAAGAGACAACAATAAGCAGCAACGACGACGACAAGGGGATTGTCACCACTTACTTGATTGGGGCATACGGCCCCCCCACGCCGCCGCGGCCGCCACCTCTGCCCCGACCTCTCCCAAACGGCCTGAACCCATTCGCGGCCGGCCCCGGATGCCGATGGTCATGCATGAAGAAGGAACCCCGGTTGGGCACAAAGGCCGGATCCTCGTCCCTCCGGCGCTTGTAATCTTCGTGCTCCTGGCGGCGTCGATTGGCAGGCTGCGCAGGCGGAGGCCGCGAGGCACTCGAGGAGCTGACAATGACGGGGGCAGAGGGAGACTTGGGTGGCGACGCCGTCACCTCGTCGACCTGCACCTCTTTTGCAGCGTCCGGAGGGTCCGCAACAGACATGCCGCGAAGCAGAAGCTCCGTGTCCGAGACCGACTTGCTTGCTTCTCCCTGAGGGCCGGCCCTGGAGCTCCTGCGGCCGGCCCCCGCCGCGGTGCCGTTGGCAGACTTCCGGGCGTTGGGGGAGGTGGGCGAGACCTCGTCGATGTTGCTGGTGTCGCTGTCGTCAGCACCGTCGTGGTCGTCGGAGATGACGGAGCCCTCCGTCAGGGAGTCGTCGTCCAACTCCAGCGTCTCCGGACGGCCCTCATCGTCGCCCTCGTCCTCGACTCGGCGGCGTTGGCCGATGAGCTTCCTACGTCGGGGGGCAGCGGCCATGGCGGGCTTTGCTGGTTGGCGGCTTGAGCTGAGACGATGAGACGGCGGACGAACGGGGGTCGTCGGCGACGGAGAGAGGGGGCGAGGGATAGATCAGAAAGACCATGCAGCGGCGGGTTGGCGTGCGAGACTGGACGGCGAGTCGGCGTGGGATTGAGCAGCAGAGGGGCCGGGAGGTGGAAATGAGGAGCCCAACCCGTCCTGCGGTGCTAGACACAAAGAGAACGGCAGAGAAGCAGATGGCGAGCAAACACACAGGCTCGACAGGGCCGCGGGGGGAGCAGCACAGGGGCCAACAGGGGACGAGGGAAGGACGAGAAGAAGGCGGGCAGCGGTGCTCGGGCGCCTCGATGATGATGCAAGGCCCAGGACGGCGAGTGATGGGAGGTTCGTGATGGCGGTTTCCAGGACAGAAAGCGGCAGATTTGACGCCAGGCCCGAGAAAAAGTGCTGGTTTGGTGTCTGGCCTGTGAAGTGGTGAGGTGAGGTGGTGGCCGCTTAGCCCAATCCAGCCGGAGCTGCCCCCCCTCCCGGCCGTGTAGCTGCGCGCACAGACTGGGTGGACAGTGACTTGCCCTGGAGCTCCCCTTTCGGCGTCATGGGCGTGTGTACCGGTGGCGTACTGGCCGATAGAGCAGGCAGTGCTGAAGTCATACAAACGCTAGCATGGTGCACTTGCAGCTACGCAGCCCTGCTTGGGTTGCCCAACGACGGACGCGCAGTCAAACGTTCCGACCACCAAACGACAGAACAAACTGACAGATCCAATCTGTCAAATGGGCGATCGCAGCAAATGGGATGCAGCCAGCCAGCCTCTCTGCCCATGTCCTCCCTCTCCTTCTTTAGCACTAGGTGTGTACCTCAGCCTTTTGGCTTAGTCCCTGTCTGGGCACTCCAGGGCTCGACACTCGCCATGCTTAGCTACTACTGCTTCAACGCCCTCGATCACGATGCCTCTCCGATCACGCCGCCATCTCGCGCTGTTGACCACACTCACAGCCCAGGCACGGATGCATGCGTGCGTGTGAAGAGGGCATAGCGTAGGCGAGTTCCTGTCCTGTCCCATCATGCCGTCCAGCCAGCCAGCGGCGCAACCCCTCACCGGCCCTGCTTACAGCAAGTCGCCCACATACCTCATTGCACCGGACGACGCGCAAACTGCATACGAGACGACGGATGCTCCACAGGTGGCATCAATCACGCTCGTCCTGTTGGCCACCAAAGGCCGCAGATGCCGACTCCGTGCTTTGGGGGAGTCTGGATGCATTGCTGCCTGCCCGTCCACTCACGCAAATGGCTTCTCGCTCCTTGCCTGCTCTGCTCTGCTGGCTTGAGCTACCCCACGGGGTCTTCTGGACCGCGGACTGGAAGTGACTCGAGTGCTCGACAGCGACATGGAACCAATGCAGACGCTCTCTGGGAGAATCTGGCCTGACCAACCACGACACCTTGGCTATCAATGCACATAGCACGAAGCACAGAGATGACGCCTTTTGATCTCGCGCAGGATGCAGCTTGCCTGGCTTGTGCCCCGTGCTTCCAACGTGCATTGATGACTACCTTAGGTATTGCCGAGTGGTACAGCTTACCAGCCCATGATAAAAATGCTAATCTGTGCGTAATTGACATTCGAGAACTCTCCCGGAGCAGCTATGATCGACGGTGATTGTATGTAAACCGAAAGGTAGTCTATCTCGCTCTGATATGCCTTCGAGGTAGGTAGGTAGACAAGTCTACGGTACCATGAATCGCAATCAGATGGAAGGACTTCACTTTCTCCTTAACCCTTGGTTCATCGTGATACCTTGAGCTATCTATCTCCATGTGGATTGTTCGGCATTGGCCTCCTGATAGCACTGCAGGATGGCTTACAGGCCGGTGATACAAAACTGGGTAGGCTTCGCTGTTGATTCGCGTGGCAGCTCCAGCGGAGGTGCTGGTGCCACTGGCCGCTGTCAAAACGCCTCGATTGCCTAGTAATTCTCCAACAAGTCAGTGGCTGCAATCCGTCAAGCCTGATGGAGCTCTCTTGAGCCCCCCCATTGTCCTGGGTGGGCGGGTTATCCACGTTTCTATGACGGCTACGCAGCACTAAACTCGTAGCAGCGCCGGTGGATTTCGGCGAGGTACCTTCTGCGTGGCGGTCCGGGAGCTGTGCCTACATGCGATTGATGACGTTGAGCTTCCCATCAACCTCAACCCTGATTTTCGCCTCGATTCAACATCACCGCTCCGAATGGCTTCTTCCGCCGATTCGCTTTAGGCACGAGCTGCGGCTCTGACTTGTAAAGCACTGAGCAGAATTTCCCGCAGTGAGACAGACAGAGACACCAGCGAACCCCGCACGATGCCCGGCCTCGCGCGCAAGATCCTCGTCTTTGCCGCCGTCGACGGCCTCGTCATCCAGCCGTTGGCGTCCAAGGGACAGAAGCCGTTCACGCCCGCGAGGATCAAGTATGGCGATGCGTCGGTGTCGGCCGCTCGGGACCAGGCGCCGGACTCCACAAAGCCCGACTCGTGGTTCGAGGCGCTGGGCGTCATTGGTGAGTCTGAGCCGGCGTCGACGTGCTGCAATGCGATGGTGTTGTTAAACAGCCCCTCTCAGGATTGATTACCGTGTCGCGGTTGACGTATCTGGTGACGATTACGCGACGAGAGCAGGTGGCCCAGGTGTTCGGACTGCCCATCTACGTCGTCACGCAGGTGGCCGTGACGCCGTGCTCGTCGCAGAGCGATGCAGAGGAATCGGTGCGCAAGACGTCACAGCTTTTGCGGACTGGACCGTCCAGCAGCGTGGATCACGATGACGAGAGCAGTAGCGACGAGGACGGCGAGATGCCCCTTGGGACCCCTGACGAGGAGGTGGACGATGAGGTAGTCGACAAGGGAGGCGTGCCGGCGGACCCCAAGAGCAGCGTTGTCGAGGACGTGATCAGGAGACGAGGCAGCTATGGGAGATTCGCGCAGCGCTGGTTTAGTCGCAGCGGCTGGACGGCTGACCAGAGAAGGACCATGGGAATGAGCAACTCGCCGACCTCTACGCCGCCCCTTGCGCAACCAGCAGCCCGGAGCCCGGCGGCTGGCCTCCCCAGCTTACAAGAGGCCGACGAGAACCCCGTGATTCCGGCATCCGCGCTTCTCCCAAAGCTGCTTCGAACCATCCAAGTTTTGTTTGGCTCATCACATAGCTTTTACTTTTCATATGACCTGGACATCACTCGCAGCCCGACTGACGATGCTTCGATTGCCAAGCCCAGCAATCCCCTGTATACCCAGGTCAAGAAGACATTCTTTTGGAACCGGCATATTCTTCAGCCCTTCACAGATGCCGGGCAGGATGCTCTGGCCTTGCCTCTGATGCAAGGCTTTGTTGGCCAAAGAACGTTTGTGGTGGATTCTCAACCTCCACAGGCGGATGATCCTGGAATGGAATCCATGGAGCTTGCCAACCTATCGCCGTCATCGTCCGTGCCATCCTCACCACCATCTGGCACGGCGAGGCATTCTCTAGAGCTGCGTCCCACCGAGAAGAGCTACCTGATTACACTCATATCGCGACGGTCAACTAAGAGAGCTGGTCTGCGATATCTGCGGCGCGGCATCGACGAGGACGGCTATACGGCGAACTTTGTCGAGACAGAGCAGGTCTTGTCATCCCCTACATGGGAGGCTTCCTCTCCAATCTACTCATTTACCCAGATCCGGGGCAGCATACCGCTTTTCTTCACCCAGACTGCATACGCACTCAAGCCCGTACCAGTCTTGCAGCATTCCGAAGAGGCCAATTACAACGCCGCCAAGCGGCACTTTGAAAGGCTGGCAGCATCCTACGGCACCCTACAGATTGTCAATCTGGTGGAAAAGCGTGGAGTGGAAGCACCCATCGGAACGCAGTATCAGAACACTGTCGCGCGTATCAACGAAGGGCTGGACGACACGGCCAAGATTCCCTTTGAGTGGTTTGACTTTCACCACGCTTGTCGTGGGATGAAGTTTGAGAACGTGAGCCACTTGCTGTTGATTTTGAAAGACCAATTGGAGAGGCTTGGCAGCACAGTCAAGAGCAACGGCCAGCTGGTCCGCAAGCAGCAGGGCGTCCTTCGGACAAACTGCATGGACTGCTTGGACCGAACCAACGTCTGCCAGAGCTCTTTTGCAAAGCATATGCTAGAGTTGCAGCTGAAGGAAGATGGCATAGACATGAGCGCTCAGATAGACCAAGAGACGGCCTGGTTTAATACTCTCTGGGCTGACAACGGCGATGCCGTTTCGAAACAGTACGCCTCTACTGCCGCTATGAAAGGTGATTATACGAGGACAAGAAAGAGAGATTACAGGGGGGCACTCAACGACTTGGGAATATCCCTAACGCGTCTCTATTCAGGGTAAGGGTTTGCTTTTCATTCAACTTTCCCTTCTCTTCCATCTCATCATGAGAGTTTTCATTCCCCATGGCTGACGACATTTTACACCGCAGTATGGTCAATGACTACTTCAGCCAAGCTGCCATCGACTTCTTGCTCGGCAACGTCACGGCCAAGGTGTTTGAAGAGTTTGAGATGGACATGATGACCAAAGACCCGGCCGTTTCCGTTGAAAAGATGCGGGAGCGTGCCGTAGAGCTGTGCCAGAAGCGAGTTGTGGCAGATGTCAGCGAAGAGTTCCACGGAGGCTGGGTCTTGATTACTCCCAACGCCGCAAATGTGCTCAAGTCGTGGCCAATGGAAGAGGCTGTTCTTCTCTTGACCGATGCTGCGCTGTACCTCTGCCGCTTTGACTGGGACCTGGACAAGGTGTCGTCCTTTGAGAGGGTGACCCTGGCGAGCATCACTAACATCAAAGTTGGCACCTATATAACCTCCACAATCTCGCCGGCGCACATGGACGAGTCGAGGAACGTGGGCTTTGTGGTGTCCTACCAGCCGGGCAAAAGCGACATCCGGAGGAGGAACACCCGATCACTATCGACCAAGGAGGCGCCGAAGCTCACTGAGTCTGGCGAGCCTCAATCGGCCCAAGGTGGCTTCGCGGGCCTTTTCGGAGGAAATGCCTCCAAGGAGCCCGCCATCCGAAAGCTCGCCTTCAAGGCGCCGTACGCCGATTCCTCCATGTCGGTGAGTGCGGCCGGGCCGGGGCAGACGGAGCTGCAGAAAATTGATACGATTTGCTCGGAGATTGAGCGCCTCGCGTCTGAGCGGCAGCTGGTGAAGGAAGGGGAAGAGCGGAAAGAGCTGGTGGAGAGAGGGGACATTATCTCTCTGGACGCGGCGAAACGCAACACAGGGCTGCTCGAGCAGCTGGGGCATTCGCTGAAGAAGCTGGTGTGGGCATAGAGTAGATATCCTTAAAGTAGAGATCCCCCCCCCTTTTGACTTGATTATTGCGTACAGAGTAACTTTATCGACTATTGTTTCTTCCGGAAGCTACTCCATCGTGCTACCAGTTGAGGATGTGCTCTTCTTTCGATACAGATGCATCTGGTACCGCATATTCTCCAGCTGAATCGGATAACTCAGACCCTCCGGCAGACGGAACCAGATGGAGTCGTGGGACTCGAGCTTTTCCCACTCGTAATCGCCCCGACTCTGTGCCGCAGCAGCCCTGGGATCGAGAAGAGTGTGGTCCAGCAGCCACTGCATCGGATAACGCTTCTTCTCCTTCCCCACGGCGGCCTCAGAGTAGCTGCCCGGGCTATCCACGACAAGGAGAAGACTCTCACGAGGCAGGACTTGGCCCAGTAGTTTCAAGAAATTCGTTGTCTTGCCGATGCCCCCATTCGTGTAGAGCTCGTTCAGCGTGAACAGCATCGTCACGGTGAGCGGCTCGCCGGTGCTGCTGCTGCCGACGATCTCCTGGAGGGCACTCCTCTCCAGCGAAAGGACGTCGGCTTGCGTGAATGTGGTTTCGAGCTGACCCCGTTCGAGAAGAGGCAGATTCGCTGCCTTGGCAGCCGCGGAGGCGTATTTCGACAGCACGGGAGGTGAGGTGATGCTGTTTTGGAGGAGCTGGGTGACGGACTTCCAGGGGCCTGCGTCGAGGAGGGAGAGGGTGCCGGAGGAGGACTGTTGGTGGATGTGGGATGCGAAGGCGACTTGTTCGGCGGCGCAGCCTCCAATGCATAGCATTTTCGTTGTTGGTGTTGTGCTTCTGGGTGCTGAACTGGATGGTTCCGATTGATCGGCGGAGAGATGATTGTCAGATGCCGCGCTCATGTACTGAGCGATGCTCTGAAAGATGGACGAGTAGCAGAGCGTCCTCGTGGGACTCCATCGCGCGGCATACGCCTGGAGATTCTCCTCCGACCCAAACGCGGCGTCAAAGTCTCTGTTGAAGAGAGCCTGCTTGATGGACTGCAGCCGGGCTGCAAAGTCGTCTGATGAGAGGACGGGGTGGAAGGCGTCGGAGAAGAGGGTGAGGATGCGCTGCTGGTGGACGAGGAGTTTGGGGTCGATGGGAGGGGGAGGAGGGGCTGGTGGTGATGATGATGATGATGATGCGGTTGGTGGAGGATTTTTCTTGGGTTGGGAGGGTTTCCTGGGGGGTTGTTTCTTGACCATTTTGTATTGATGGGTTTTTTGTGCTTTGATGTTGCTTTTGTTATCGTGATGGGTTATGATGGTGGCTTTGATGAGTGGTGAAAAATTGAGTTGCTTCATGGAAAGTGGGTAAGTGAAGGCGGCACTACAAGGGCTTTGGCAAACCTCACTTGGAGCGACTCATTTTATGTATTGAATGCAAGGAATTGTTCTTTCATCTCACACCATATCAATCATATATTGGAAGACATGAAGCTTCATGGACTTTATCAAGGTGGCAGCTGAAAATTCTCATCGATCAGTTTATCTGTACGAAGCTGTTGATGAGTGCCGACTGGCGAAATGCCAAAAAAGCTTGGGTCAGCTTGTTAAGCCCGAAACTCGGCAGAAACAGCCTGAAATCGACTTCCAGCAACGATCCGGCCAGCGCCGCCCATTTCCTCTGCTTTATTTCTTCAACGCCAACTTACGCGGAACTCCGGGATGCCCAGATCGGGTTATTGGAGTAGAATAGCGCCAACCAGCTACTACTACAAGGTGTCTTGCTCCCGCCCGTCTGATTGGTGGTGGGGGTTCCGTGATGCTTAGAAAATGCTTTGAGGCACGCTTACATACAAAACTAGTAGGGGAGGGATGGATGGATGCGTGGATATAGGCATTGAGAATGGGTTGACGATACTGTAGCCTATCGTATTATAATGTGGGCTAATGCGTGGACTTGGCATGGCTTTCGCGGTGTTTGAAGCGCATGAGGCTGCATGTGCGCGGGTTGCCCGGGTTTGGAGACGGGAGGCGAGTTGGCTCAAGAGACTTTTGCTAGGGCTATCGAGGCCGTAATGTCTGCATGTACCTCGATGGAATCAATTGTCAGGTAGCATGGATGGACGAAAGAAAGAATTTGAAGAGCCAGCCGTTTGAAAGCTTGCCTCTGCTCTACGTCACCGGGCCGAAACGGAGTATCCAAATGGAGCCATCGGTTCAATGTTGCTGAGAAAAGGGCAATAGTACAAGACCGTTGGTTGCCAGCAAAGGTGCGGCCGTCTGGGCTTTTGTTTGCCTCTTGGTGGTACGAGATTTGATGGGAGTCTCCGCTGTTTGGGAGCCGTTTCCCCGGTGGATGGCATTGCGATTGCGTCAAGCGGCGGTAGATCCGTTGCCTCAACGGGGCTTCCAGGAAGGCGGAAGAAGCCGTTTGCTGTGCTGTAGCCGTGATGATTGTAGTAAGGTATGTAGATATCAGCAGCAACCCATTGGTTGTTTCGGATACAAGGATGACGGGTCACAAGGCAAGGACGACCAGGACAGAGGCAATAAATGCCAAACAGCTCTCGTATTGCCTTGTGTACCTAGAAAGACCGGACGCAATAAAGAGCCACGGCAGAAAGGCGAGCCGCATCGAGTTCAAATCGCAGCGATGGATGCATCATCTGAAGTATCTGCCCCTAGCGGCGACATGGTCCGGACCCGCTGGAACTTGCGCTCCGAATTCCATTTGCCGAACGCCTGGCTGCGCTGCCTCCGGGGCTCCAGTAGGGCGGCGTCAGAGGGGCTCGTGGCAGCGTCTGGAGGGGCTGCTGGCCCTGGAACTGGGAAGCTCCAGCGGGGTGCCCGCCGAGAATGATCCCCTAATGCCTTACAAACGACGCCGTGCATGACATAAACGGGTGTTTAGTACGTTAACCCCTCAACAAAAAGAGGCTCCCTCGTTCAACACCAGCTCCGATCTGAGCTGCCGCTGCCTTATATTGCTGCCTCCCCCCGTCTCGCCGCTCCAGTCTCTTCTCTCTCCATCCCCTCCCCAATTTTATCTTGATACCCTATTTTCCCGTATAGCGCTGATCGACCATTCGCAATCATGGGCTACACAGAGGTTGACCAGAAGGCCATCAACACCATCCGCCTGCTCGCGGTAAGTTCTCTCTCTCTCTCTCTCTCCCTTGCTCTGGTTTTCCTTACCCCGCCATTGCCCCTCCATGCGAGGACAGCTGTGGTCTGTTTTTTTTACGCCCGAGAGCAGTGGTGACGAAGAGGGGTCGCCGTCAGCACCGAAGCAGCGGAATGCCTTACGGACGAGAAATAGACGATAGGAGGAGCTGCGAGAAGACGGAATTGAAGCAAAACGACGACAAATGAGAGCAATTGGCTGACCGATTCTGCGAATTCCAGGTCGATGCCACCTTCAAGAGCAACTCGGGCCATCCCGGTGCCCCCATGTGAGTTCCGCCCACGCTGCCTGTGACGCGCAGTTCCCGCCGCTTCCGCCGAGCTGGCTGCTAACGACGACAATCGCAGGGGCATGGCTCCCATTGCCCACGTCCTGTGGGACAAGTTCATGAGGTTCAACCCCAAGAACCCCAAGTGGGTGAACCGTGACCGATTCGTTCTCTCGTGAGTTACTACCCTTCCCCCCCCACAAACAAGTACCAAAGGAAAAGGAAACGCAGGGGAAAGGCAGGAGTTTCCCCGCACGGCGAAATCGTGAGACTGACAGGTGCTTTTTTCGGCCCAATCTAGCAACGGCCACGGCTGCATGCTCCAGTATGCTCTGCTTCACCTGTTCGGCTTCGACCTGACCATCGATGACCTCAAGGCCTTCCGAGTAAGTTTCCAGCCTTCACCGAAATAGAGGAAGATGACGAAGAGTCGAGTGGGAAAGATCCCGTCACCATGGGCCTGTTACAACAGCGGCCGGGGTCAAATCTCGCAGCACTAACACGAGATCTCTACAGTCCGTCGACAGCAAGACTCCTGGTCACCCCGAGGCCCACGACACTCCCGGTGTCGAGGTCACCACTGGCCCCCTGGGTCAGGGTATTTCCAATGCCGTCGGTCTGGCCATGGCCCAGGCCCACACTGCCGCCACCTTCAACAAGCCCGGCTTCAACCTGATTGACAACTACACCTACTGCTTCCTCGGCGATGGCTGCTTGATGGAGGGTGTCTCTGGCGAGGCCTCTTCCCTGGCCGGCCACCTCAAGCTCGGCAACCTCATCTGCATCTACGATGACAACCACATTTCCATTGACGGCGACACCAACGTTGCCTTCACCGAGGACGTGGCCAAGCGCTACGAGGCCTACGGCTGGCACGTCGAGGTTGTCGAGAACGGCGACCACGACCTCGAGGGCATGGAGGCCGCCATCAAGAGGTGCCAACAGGTCAAGGACAAGCCCTCAATCATCAAGCTGCGAACCACCATTGGCTTCGGCTCCCTCCAGGAGGGCACCCACGGAGTCCACGGCTCTCCCCTCAAGGCCGACGACATCAAGCAGCTCAAGCAGAAGTTTGGCTTCAACCCCGAGGAGAGCTTCGTCGTCCCCAAGGAGGTCACTGACCTCTACGCCCGCCACTCTGCTGAGGGCGCTGCCGCCGAGGAGGCGTGGAACAAGCTGTTCGCCCAGTACGCCGAGAAGTACCCCGCCGAGGCTGCCGACCTCCAGCGCCGCCTCAAGGGCGAGCTGCCCGAGGGCTGGGAGAAGAACCTGCCCGTCTACTCGCCCAGCGATGCTGCCATTGCCAGCCGAAAGCTGTCCGAGACCGTCCTTACCAAGATTCACAACGTGCTGCCCGAGCTCCAGGGTGGATCTGCCGATCTGACTGGTTCCAACCTGACCCGTTGGAAGGACGCTGTTGACTTCCAGAACCCTGACACCGGCCTCGGTGACTACACTGGACGATACATCCGCTACGGTGTCCGTGAACACGGTATGGGTGCCATCATGAACGGCCTGGCCGCCTACGGCACCATCATCCCCTATGGCGGTACCTTCCTCAACTTCGTCTCCTACGCCGCCGGTGCCGTCCGCCTGTCCGCTCTGTCCCGCGTCCGCGTCATCTGGGTCGCCACCCACGACTCCATCGGCCTGGGCGAGGACGGCCCTACTCACCAGCCTATCGAGACTCTGGCTCACTTCCGTGCCCTGCCCAACTGCATGGTGTGGCGCCCCGCCGACGGCAACGAGACCAGTGCCGCCTACTACATTGCCCTGACCTCCAAGCACACCCCCAGCATCATTGCCCTGTCTCGCCAGAACCTGCCCCAGCTCGAGGGCTCCGTCATCGAGAAGGCCATCAAGGGAGGCTACGTCCTGCAGGAGGTCGAGGGTGCCCAGATCACTCTGGTGTCCACCGGTTCCGAGGTTTCCATCGCCGTGGACGCCGCCAAGTACCTCCTGGAGAAGCACAACGTCAAGGCCCGCATCGTCTCCATGCCCTGCTTCGAGGTGTTTGATGCTCAGTCCAAGGAGTACAGACTCTCCGTCCTGCCCGACGGCATCCCCTCTCTGTCCATTGAGGTGATGAGCACCATGGGCTGGGAGCGATACACTCACGAGCAGTTTGGTCTCAACCGATTCGGTGCCTCCGGCGCCTACAAGGACGTTTACAAGGTGCGTTGGAATCACTATACGAGAGATAACAAGAACAGATTGCTGACCCATTACTATAGAAGTTCGAGTTCACCCCCGAGGGCATCACGAAGCGCGCTCTCCTCACCATTGACTTCTGGAAGGACGTCCCCAACGTCCGCTCTCCCATCAACCGTGCCTTCCAGCAGCTCATCTAAGCTGGTAGCAGGATGTTAAGAGGATATATATATATATATACTGTTTCTTTTATGCATAAATCTAGTTAAAAGTTTCGATAAATAAAAAAAAACATGTGGAAAGAAAGTGTCTGTATTGATAAAAGGGGGATGTCATGTACGTTGCGACGACGAAAGTCCCGGAATCACGGGAAACGTCAAGAGATTTTTCGTTTTTAAAGCACGTTTGCAAACTCAATGATGAATATGAAATGAAAAAGAGAGAGCAAAGAAAAAGTCAATTGCCCATTACTCCAAAAAACAGCCCCGACTTCTTTGGAACGCCATTGGGAGCCAACATTGCAAGCCACCTAGGGTACTACTCTGTAGGTAGCACAACATCCTTTGGATCTCCTGTATACCACATACTTAGGTAGGTACTATTAACGCTGCATGCGTTGCGAATCGGAGGGCAAAGAAAAGAGACGTGAGTAGAAAACGTCGAAAAGAAGAATGCAAAAGAAATCAAGCCAGCCGTCTTCTCATTAAATGCGCATGTATGATAAAAAAAACATCTCGTCCCTTTTTGTGTCTGCGCCGACGCTTCCCAAAGTATGCTGCCTTTTCCTTTCATTCTTCCTGCACCTTTCATTCCCCCGTTTCTCTGTAAGTGGTAATTAATCAATCGTCGCGAATGCAGCTCCCAGTATCCTCTTGGAGCTTCTTCATGCTGATCCGACTCCGCCTGGTTCGGTGTCGGGACTGTCGCTGATGCGGAATGGCTGGCTGCATGCATAGCCATATATAGATATATATATATGGCCATTCATGGTTTCTGGTTATTCGTTCCCCTTGGGCTTTGGATGCTTCTTTTCTCATTCGGGCGTGCTCCTCCCGTCGGTGTCGTTGTCCAGCCCCTGAGCCGCCCACTCCTTTTGAATCTCCCGCCCGATGCGCTCCAACCTCGCAGCAGCGCGCCTGGCTTCCCTCGCATCGTCCGACGAAGCGGCGACGACGACGCCGATGAGCACGGGCGGACCGGCGTCGTCGGCCGTCCTGGCGGTCGCATCGTCAGCCTCGACATCGACATCGACATCGACATCGACGTCAGCCTCGGCGTCGTGGCCGTGGCCGTGGCCGTGATCGTGCTTGTATTTGGAGACGGACCCGGCCTCACTCTCCAAGACACCGCCGCCGCCGCCGCCCGACTCGCGCGGGTCGAGGTAGGACTGCAGGACGACGGCGCCCGAGTCCGGGTACTCGACCATGATGCGCTGGGGGCGGCCGAGGTTGGCGCGCTGGGCGGCGGTCTGGGCGGTGATTGCGCTCGAGGTGAGGGAGGTGAGGGACTCGAGGTGGGCGGGCGACGAGGCGGAGGTGATGAGCGGGGTGAGGGTGAGGTCGGTGAGGTGGAGGGCGAGCGTGGGATGCTGAGAGGGGAGGTTGGACATGTTGAGGGCTGTTCTGGTGAGGAAGGGATGGGTTGATGGTTGGAGATGGGTTGATGTATTCTGGGGGAGGGGAGAGGCCTTGGGGGGGTTGGTTTGTCGCTGCGGCCTCCCTCCGTTATCTTGTGTCTTTGTTGCAGAAGAAGGAGTTTTTTCTTTCTGTTTATCACCCTGAAACAGCCGTGATGGAGGGACCGCGGCGGAGTTCGGTGCGTGACGGCCGCGATGGGGGCAGAAGCGCTGAGGTCGCCTTATCTCGACAGGATGCACCGACGGAGTGGGCTGCTGATGACGTCGGTGTAGCAAGGCGTATTACCGTCGTGTCATTGCGAATTGCAGCATGGACTGTTGATGAAGGAGATCTAGAAGGGGGGGGGGGAGGAGGGAAAACAGGAAGAGAAGAGAAAAGGGAGATGGCGAGTCACGCCCGCTCGGTATAATAAGACAGATCAGATAGAGAGGCAGCAGGCTGAGGTATTAAGAGGGGGGTCTCCATTATCTGCCATCATGTCCAGCAAGCACGAAGTACTACTATAACGGACTGAAGCATCGAAAGAGTCGGGGAAGCTGCACCTGCCGCAGCGGGCCCTATCCTTTAGCTGCCTGCCCGCTGCTGCTGCTTCTGGTCAGGCCACGGCGCTAGGCGACAGGCCCTGGAGGTCATTCGCCAGCCCTCTGGTCCAGCCCCCCCGCTAGGCTCGACTCGGGCTGGGTCACCCCGCGCTTTGGGGCTGGTCTAGCAAGGACCTTGTGCAGTGGTTGAGGTAATGTAGCATCGAGATGAGTGAAGAGAGAGAGAGAGAGAGAGAGATGTTGCTGTTGCTGTTGCTGTTACTCATGTCATGTTCTTTGTGCGTCTGCGGGATGAAGAGTGAGGAGAAGCGGGAAGAAAGGAGGAGAGACGGGATACGAAGTAGTATTACTACCTTAAGTACTACTGCTCCCGTCACACCAATTGGAGGTACAGAACAAGTGCCGCCTTACCTTGACAGACAGACAGACAGACAGGCAGGCAGATAGGCAGACCGCAAGTCACCAGCACCAGGGGCAATTGATTCATCACCCAGCCCCTGATAACGAATTGCCGGCGAGGGCACACGTGCAGCGAGCGAGTGAGTGAGTGCATTTGTGACAATGGGAGAGCATCGAATCGCCAGCGGCACGTTGCTTTCTTTGCCTTATCTCACCTCTTCGTGGTCAGTGCTGGTAGCAAGCGCGCTAACACGCCCGCAGTCGAGTCAAGCACGGCCATGAACCGGACCCTTCAAACTTGCATCGTGCTGCTAACCTTGAAGGCACAAGTTCCAAGTCGCCAACATCAACCCGTCCCTCGAAACCTACGTCATGCCCTACGTTGCGAATCACTACTACCCGCCCAATCGCCTGTGATGGGGGGGGGGGCCGGAAAAGCAGTTCGCAGCTTGTCAAAGGCGTTGCCAAACGGAGAAGGTGTCGGGACCTTGTGAGACGCGGCCGTTATCTGACGACAGCGCGAGAAGGATGGCCCACGATATGACGATGGGAATGGAGCCAAAGGCACCTCTTGTCTCTTTCCACACGCACGCATTATTTATCATACCCAACCCGCTACGAGTACTTCGTATGGGACTTTGCGCCTTGGGAAGATGGGCGTTATCATGAAATAGGCGCTCTAGACGCCCACTGCTGCGTGCTTTCGTCGCGGACGCAGGAGACAAGGCCAATGGGGCTCGATGGCGGCATGCAAGACGACACTCTTCTGCTCTAGTGTCCCCTCTGACTGCCGGCCCTTTTGGTCTGTTGTTTTTCAATTGCAACGGCCAACAGCGAGCTGACATGGTATTACAAGTAGTGATAGTAGGTAGTACTATAGCTCGAGGAATCGAAGCGGGGAGCAGCTCGTCCAGATGCTTGCTGTGAAGCTGCATGCCACAACGGCGGAGCAAGGGGCCCCTTTCTTCCTCTGGTTGTGCTTCTTGCAGCTTTGCAGAACTGATGGCCATCGTACGTACGGAAGCTTCTTCCCCCTGTCTCTTGGCTCATGACACCCCTTACTTGTGCCTTCGGAACGGACAGGCCATCTGATCGTTGTGTTCCCGATTCGATTGGCGATCGGGACATGCCTCCTCTGTTCACCCTGCTTCCACCTCAACAGCAAACTCACGCCATTTTCCTGCCTGCCATCCGGGTAGCCGGCGGGAATACCAGTATCTCATTGTATTAGCAACCGGTTCGCGAGGCTCCAGCCTTGACTTGTCGACGCAAACCGCTTCATGACTCGCGAGGCGGATGTGTTTGCGATAAGCTTGTTCTAGAATTCACCGAGCTCGATAACGTGGCGAGGCGGTTTGTATGTAGTTGCACATAGTACCTGTAGTAGATGGGACGGACTTTTTCAGCTGGGGGACTGTGCTTTTGATGAGATGAGATGAAGCACGGGGCAGTTAAACAAGCGCCCCGTCGCAATCTTCAGCCCGATTGAGCAATGCGACCTGCAAGCAAGCGCCAAGTATGCGATACCATGAACCACCGCTGCTACCGCCTATATCCTCGTGTAAGCGATGGATATCCATCACGGCTCCGAGCGGCAACCAGCGTTCTCTATCTTGGCCATTACATAACAGACCAACTTGCTACCCCGATTCAGACAGCGCCCCAGAACAGACCAGTCACGCCGCACCACCTCCGCCTAGACTCCAACTAAGCCCAACCCAGCAGCTTGCAGCACCAACTCTTATCTTATCGCTTACCCTCGCGCACGTGACCCACAATATCCCGCCCGGAAAAATTCGCACACCCGAGTGTCCATTCGCCAAAATTAACCCACTAGCGTCTTTCCCGCTCAGAACTTCGTCTGCGGAAAAAAAAAAGAAGAGGATCCCCCCGTTTCTTTTCGACAACCACTCAATTCCTAACTCGACAACTTTTTCCCAGTCGACAAAAGAAACATCTTCGAGATGGCCAAGGAAACGCCTGCAAAGACCGGTCTGGCCGTTGGCCTGAACAAGGGCCACGTACGTCAACTCGCGATCTCACCTCGTGGAGGATCTCTGCCCCCCGTGCTCTCGCTGGCAGACGATGGACGCTGACGTTTTGGGTTTGTACCTGTTTTGCAAAAAATATAGAAGACCACTGCTCGTGTTGTCAAGCCCCGTGTTTCCCGCACCAAGGGCCACCTGAGCAAGCGAACCGCTTTCGTGCGTGAGGTCGTCAAGGAGGTTGCTGGGTGAGTTTTATAACCTTTTCTTGCTGTTCTGCTTTTTTTCTATGACGTTTTGTCTCGAAAAACTCTTGATGAGAGAATGCTAATCATTTGTTTGTTTCTTGTGTAGCCTCGCCCCCTACGAGCGCCGTGTCATCGAACTGCTCCGAAACAGCAAGGACAAGCGTGCCCGTAAGCTGGCCAAGAAGAGGGTACGTCTCACACAATTACAACATCAAGTCCTCATCACGACATGGATGCTAACGTGCATGTTTCTTCCCAGCTCGGTACCTTCGGCCGTGCCAAGAGAAAGGTCGACGAGCTCCAGCGCGTCATCGCCGAGTCCCGTCGTGCTCACTAAACGGTGTGCTTTTTTTTATACAAGAACCGAAAAAAAGACAGCGGAGCGATGGGCAGGGAGAGGATATATACCTTTTGGTAATGGCAGAAATAAAAATGACATTCCATGAACAAACACAACCAAAAACCAGACTCAATTTTATTTGGGGGAAACAAACAACGGGTTTTTCATACGGGGCATTTCGGCGCGGTCGTGCTTTTTGATCGATTCAAATGAGGGGGCCTGGGCGGCGCATTGTTATAGCCTGCGTTTCGTTCTTCGGAAATCTGGAAATTTCTTTCAAAAAGTGAAAAGGACGTGCCGTTAAGGAAGACCCAGATCCCCGAGACGTTGTACCCTTTGTTTCTTCACCAGTTGTTCCCAATTGATGTGACTACAAACTTGCCTTGGTGACCTTTCAAGAGAAGTTCTGTCACCAATGTCCCACAATGGTCTTTTGGTCTGCTTTAGATTCTGTGATTCGTACACAAAGCGCTACCCAACATAGGAAATAGTTCTAATACAGCTCGGCTTCCTTTCTCGTTCAGTCTACTTCTTCCCCAACTTGAGCCACTTGGGCATCTTCTTCCCAGAACCCTCTCCGCCATCCCTCTTCTCCGGCGCCTTCTGGACCTGCGGCACCACGCTCGGCCCATCCTTGTCGTCGTCCTCCGCCGTCGGTATCTCAGGCACCTTGATGGCCTGCCCCTGCTGCGCAAAGTCGGCCTTCAAAAAGGGCCGCTTCCTCACATCGGCCGGCACGCCGTCGTCCCACACCAGACTGACGAGCACCCTCCCGGAAAGCTTATACGCCCTGATCAGGCTATGCTGGGGCGCGTCGTCGTCCTTGATCACCGTCTTGCTGCCCGGGATGACCAGGTGGAAGGGCTGCTCGCTGTCGGCCATGACGTGCCGCACCGCTTGATACAGGAACGCGCCCGTGTCCGACGGACTGACTTCCCAGTCGCTGCTGGTGTTGTCCGGGAAGCGCACCTTGATGAGCACGGACTTGACGGCCGCGATCTTGGCCCGCTCGGCGGCCTCCCTTTCCTCGATTTCCTTGTCCGACAGGAGCCGCCTGTTGCGGGAGCTCTCCTGTAGCCGGGCTTGGTGGAGCTGGGCGTGGGCGATGGTGGGCGTGAAGTCGTCCTCGTCGGCTGGGAGCAGGGCTGCGGCGGGGGTCGAGTTCGTGGGTGCCAGAAAGATATTGACTGGCTGGAAGCGGGACAGGAGTTCCGAGTTCTTATTCGGTTCTTGCGTGGTTTGTTGGCCATCGCCCTGTAGTGATTGTGAGGTGGTTGCGTCTTGTGTGACTTGAGCCGAAGCATCGTCATGCTCCCGGGCTGTTGTCGAGTTGTCCACGGGCTCTGACGGAGCTTCGGCCATGGGTGTATCTCTATCCGCGGGTGGGTTTTGAGGTTTCTCCTGCTCAGCGGCCGATGCCGATGCCGATGCCGCACTCTTCTCTTCCTCCTTGATCTTATCTTCTACCTTGATCCTCTCTTCCTCCTTGAAGAATGCCCCAATCTGCTCCATCGCCTCATAGAGCGTCTGGTCAGTCCTCCTAAACGTCAGCCGTATCAGGACATTCCCGGAGTTGTGCCCCAGCTGCGACAGCGTCTTCTGAAAGTCGGCCAACGACGCCAGCTCCCTCCCCATGATGTTCAGGACCGGCGTCTCGTAGTAAAGCTGCCCGGCGCCCGAGCCGCCGCCGCCGACCGTCTCGGCCACGCCCCTGGCCGTGATGTTGATGTTCTTGCCCGCGCTGGCCTCGCCGCTCTCAAACTGCCGCAGCACCTGCCATATTGACAGGTCCGAGGGGAACTTGTTGATCAGCCGGCCGCCGGGGATCTCCTTGGCTTCAGGCTGCGGCAGCTGCAGGGCGATCTGGACGGCGGAGGGCGTCTTGGACTTTTGGACGAGCTCGAGCTTGGCGCCGGCGATGAGGCCCGAGGTGCGGAAGGGTATGGAGAGGTCGACTTGCTTTTGCTTGTGTCTGGAGAAACCGAAACTTGTTAGAGCATGGCGATGAGGGGTTCTGGAAAAGCAGGCGCAAAGATCATTTTTCAATACGTACTTTATCAGGTACTTGTTGCTGTCCAAGCCGAGCTTCTTGCAAGCTTCCTCGAGGACGTCTGACAGGTACGTGCCCGGACTGACTTTGACGGTTGTGCGCCTCAGATCCGTGGCGATGACGACGACGTGCGACGACATGATGGCTGATTGTTGGTGGAAGAAGCAGGGTTGAGATTGCGAAACTCTCCAGCGGCTGGAGTCGCAGCTTGAACTGTTTGCTGCAGCACCGTATACGACGAGGACAGGCGATCCTGGAGCTCTACGGCATGCGTTGGTGGTGGGGTTTGGAGTTGGCGGTTGTCGTAGGCGGGGATTAAGCCAGTATGTAGAAGCGCAAAGTAACACGAAAAAGCCTTGCAAATCACAAAGAAGAAGCAAAAAGCTGGGTGAAAACCAACGATTATCCGCTCAGGGCTGTTGTGTAATCTCTCTCTCTCTCTTTGCCTGTCAGTGAAGCAAAAGAATGCAACTGCTCGATTGCGATGCGAAGCTTCAAGCCGGGCCAGATTAGATATCCAGGGACCCACCGCATCAACCGGCCCAGAACAAAGCACTTCTCGAACAATCCGCAGGCAGCCTCCCCAGACGACGACAACGAGCATTACATAAGCCACCTCTACGAGTACGAGTATATGGCACTACAAGTAGTATACATACACCAGCCACAGCGGCAGAAGCTCGGGAGCGAGCCACGCGCCACAAGTCGAAGTTGCGCCGCCAATGGCCAAGGCAAGGCCACGCCAGACCATGTTTGCCTGTGGGAGGAGCTGTGCTGTCTTGGGGCTGGTGCGAGCTTGCAAGGGAAGCTCCGATGCAAGCCAAACTGAACCCATCTCTCAACTTCACCAAACCTGCGGAAACCTGCAACTGGACGGCCCCAGACGAAACGAACATCACAGCGGCATTGACTCTCTCGGATCTCCAGGCGACGAACCGGTACTCGGGTGTGGACTAAGGGTCGCTTGATCTGCTCTGCCCGCTGCAGCATTCCAACAGAGACACAAGAAGCCATCATGGTACGTTTGTATATGTAGATGGGAATCATCCATGGCCCAACTCGACTCCCCCTCGATAGCATCACCAAAGACAGAACCAGGCTAACTCTCTCTCTCTCTCTCTCTCCTCTCTGCCATAGTCTTCTCCCTTTTCCATCAGTCAGTTCCCGCAATCTCCCCCCATGCCAACCCCAATCATAACCACCACCCCCAACTAACACCCCTCCTCAAGACGGCGGCGCCTGCGTCGCCATGGTCGGCAAGGACTGCGTCGCCATCGCCTGCGACCTCCGCCTCGGCCTCCAGGCCCTCACCATCTCCAACAACTTCCCCTACAAGGTCAACATGTACCGCCTCCGCGAGGAGCGCGCCATCGCCCCGCGCACCTTTGCCAACCTCGTCTCCTCCTCCCTCTACGAGCGCCGCTTCGGCCCTTACTTCGTCTCGCCCGTCGTCGCGGGCCTGGATCCCAAGACGGGCAGCCCCTTCATCTGCGGCTTCGACAGCATCGGGTGCATTGATTTCGCAAAGGACTTTATCGTCTCGGGGACGGCGTCGGAGCAGCTGTTTGGCATGTGCGAAGGCTTGTGGGAGCCTGATTTGGTAATGCTTCTCCCTCCCTCCCTCTCTCTCACTCTCTTTCCACTTTTGAGGGAGCATTTATTAACCTGCTGTGACACTTTTTAGGAGCCCGATGCGTTGTTCGAAACCATCTCACAAGCCCTCCTAAACGCCGTCGACCGCGACGCCCTCTCCGGCTGGGGCGCCCACGTGTACATCATCGAGAAGGACAAGGTCACCAAGAGGTTACTAAAGGGCAGACAGGACTAGATAACGATATACCAAACACGTTTATAGAGATGGGCATATGAAATCAACTATCTATACCTGGGCGTTCTATGCGAAGTGACTGAATGAATGGAGAGAAGCTGAGATCAAAGACGACGACTCAATCATACTGGCATGCAAGGAAAAGGCAAAACACCTACGCAGAACCAAGAGAAGAAATGACCCGGGAAAGTTCCATTTGATTCATTGCGCTTTTACCTTCCAATCCATTTCTCTCATGCTTCCATCTTCCCCTCCTAGTTACACTAACCATGAATCACGATGTAGGCGCACCGTGATGTTCAAAGTCAAAACGAGAATAAAACTCACAAGAAACACCAATACAGTTGCACAGCAACATTCGACAAGCCAATGACGACCAGCTAAACAATAGCGATGCCTTTTCTTTTCCTCTATATACCTGTATGCATTGTGTATATGTATATGTGTGATATATCCCTCTAATGTCCCCCCCTCCTCTATTCCTCCTTCTTTGCCTTGATGGCCTTGGCAGCAGCCGGCTTCTGCTGCATGAAAAACTGTCTCTCGATAATCTTGAGCACCTCGTCGATAAGACTGCAAAGAAATCAACTTGTTAGTATAGCACACTCGGATAGAAGAGATAGATCTGGGGGTACATCGAAACTTACATGACAGGCAGACTGATGAGGGTGACCGCCTTCCATTCCAGCGCATTCAGCGGCAGGATGCCAAACAGGGTCTGCAGGATCGGGGTGTAGAGGAGGACAAAGTGGAGGGCCATGGACAGGGCGATGGCGTACACGAGCATCATGTTGTTCCACAGCGGGAGGGTGAGCAGCGACTCGCTGGACGACAGCGCGTTCATGGCGTTGAACATCTCAATCACCACCAGGATCGACAGCGAAACCGTCGAGGCCGACTTGGCCATGTCGTTGCTGAACATGTCGCATCCGATCTCGGGGAACTCGGTCGAGCAGCGGTGGAAGCTCGAGAGCTGGCGGAAGCTGATCTGAGGGCCCTCGGGGTTGTACATGAACCACCAGGCGTAACCCGCAACGGTCGCGAGGCCGACGTAGGTGCCAATGATCAGGTAGCGCAGGAACAGCCATCCACCAATGAGGGGCTCGTCTCTCCTACGGGGCTGGCGCTTCATGATGCCGTGATCAGGGGGGTTGAAGGACAGTGCCGTGGCGGGAAGACCGTCGGTCACGAGGTTGACCCAGAGCAGCTGCACGGGGATCAGAGCCTCGGGCATGCCAAGGGCCGCCGTCAAAAAGATGGAGACCACCTCGCCAATGTTGGATGAGATCAGATAGCGGATAAACTGCTGCGTGTTGTTGTAGATGGAGCGGCCCTCTTCGATGGCCACCTCAATGGTAGCAAAGTTGCTGTCAGCCAGCACCATGTCGGCGGCCAGCTTGGAGACGTCGGTTCCGGAACCCATGGCAACACCAATGTCGGCCTTCTTCAGAGCAGGGGCATCGTTGACACCGTCACCAGTCATGGCCACAACCTCGCCCAGAGACTGCAGGAGGTCAACCAGCTTGGACTTGTGGCTGGGCTCAACACGAGAGAACAGCGAGGCTCGCTTAGCCGCCTCCAGCTGCTCGCCGGGGCTGAGGTTGTCGAATTCACGTCCGGTATAGCTCTTCCCTTCAAGGTCCTCATGCTGACCAAAGACACCAATCTGTCGGCAGATGCTCTCAGCCGTGTTGCGGTTGTCGCCGGTGATGACAATGATGCGGATACCAGCCTCCTTGCACTTCTTAATGGCCGCGGGCACTTCAGGGCGAGGGGGATCCAGCATGCCAACCAATCCGAGGAAGGTCATGTTCTGCTCCAGCTGTGCATACTGTTCGGTGGTCTTGGCCGATCCAGCCAACGGGTGCTGAGAGATATCATCCACGCTGGCCAGGGCAATGACGCGAAGGCCTTGGTTACCATATTCGACGACTTCCTTGAGCAGGAGGCCACGGAGCTTTTCGGTCAGGGGAACACGGTTGCCGTTGGCACCAATCACGGTGCTTGTGCAGCGATCAATGACCGACTCAGGGGCTCCCTTGACAAGCAGCTTCTTGGCCGAACCGTCTTGCACGGCAACCGACATGCTCTTCCGGTCACGGGAGAACTCGTAAGTCGCGAGCCGGGGGAGCCTCTTCTCATGCGCAGCGCTGGCAAAGTGTCCACAGTCTTCGAGAGCAGTTCCAGCAGGGGCGCAAGGGCCGATCTTCTCAGCAAGGACTCGGAGGGCGCCCTCGGTGGACTCGCCGACACTGGAGAAGGTAGCGGTACGTGAATCATAGGCCAACTTGGCATCGTTGCAGAGAGCGGCAACCTCGGCCATCTGGCGGATCGTAGGTGAGGTCGTGGCAAGGTCCTCGACAACCTGGCCATTGAGCAGAATGTTACCCTTGGGAGCATACGTTGTACCCTCGACGGTGAGCTCGGTCAGGTCGGTTCCGGCTTCGTTGAGATAGACGACCTTGTTGACGCTCATCTGGTTGGTGGTAAGTGTACCCGTCTTGTCGGAGCAGATGACGCTGCAGCTTCCCAGAGTTTCCACGGAGGGCAGGCTTCGCACAACGGCGTTCTTAGCCGCCATCTTACGGGTGCCCAGAGCAAGACAAGTCGTAATGACAACCGCAAGTCCCTCGGGAATGGCAGCCACGCCCAGGGACACGGCAATCTTAAGATAGTAGATGGCGCCCTTGGCCCAGCTGCCGTGGCTGGGATCGTTGAAGTTGGGGATGTTGATGAGCCAGACGAGGATGCAGATGACAGTAATGACCTTGGCCAGGTTGTCGCCAAAATCGTTGAGCTTCTGCTTCAGGGGAGTGGGTTCGGAAATTTGGGCGGTAATGCTCTCGTGGATATCGCCAATGGCAGTGTTGGAGCCCGTCAGGACCACAATGGCCTTGGCTCGTCCTGTGACAACCGTGGTCCCCGAGAAGAGCATGTTCACCTGATCCTGCAAGACAGCCTTGTCGTCATCGACGACGGCGGTAGGGTCTTTCCCAACGCTCTCGCTCTCTCCCGTCAGGATAGCCTGGTCCACTGCAAAGCTGTTGCTCTCGATGGAAACGATGCGGCAGTCGGCGGGGATGCGGTCTCCGACAGAAACAGACACGATGTCGCCGGGAACAAGCTCGTCGGCCTTGACTCGGGATACGTGTCCGCCATTGCGGACGACGTTGGCTTCGTTGGCGGAGTACTCTTGAAGGGCGGCGATGGCCTTTTCGGCACTGCTTTCCTGGGACACGCCCACGACGGCGTTGAGGATGAGGATCGTGAGAATCTGCAGGCACACGACAGATGCCGGTTAGCGACCAAGTCCAAACCAGTTGCACGCGAAACCACTTACCACTGCGGGATCGACGAATGCGCTCCAGCCGCCCTCGTCTTCAAACAGGGCGAGGACGAAGGAAACAACGGCGGAACCGAGCAGGATGATGACGAGTTGGTCTTTGAATTGTTCGAGAATCAACTCCCAAATGGGAGTGGGAGGCTCTTCGGGGATCGCTATGCTGGTTGTTAGCATCATGTCAAGTCGAGATACGTTCTCTCCTCCCGGCGGTCTCTCGGGGTCGTGCAGACTTGGGGGCTCGGGGACTGCGCACCATTGCGGCCGTGTTTCTTCCGAAACTCTTCAACCTGACTGTCCGTCAAGCCGCTGTGCTCCCGGACGTCGAAGTTGGCCAGCACCGCGTCGATGGGGAGAGCGTAGGCGTTGTCCATGGTTGGCGGGTTGCGCCGAAAGCGGCGGGGCGACGATCTGGGATCCTTATCGCGGGTATCGATGTGCCTGAGCAAGGTAGGTAAGACGAAGCTATTCCCAAAGTCTCAAGTCACTCTCGACGGAACTCGAGAAGGATGAAATCAGTGAGAAAGGAACAAGTACAAGTATGGAGTGTTCAACAAGGCAGAGAGGGAGTGGAAGAAGGCAAGGCCAGTTCAGCGGATTGCCAGCTTGGGAGATTTGTCAAGGCTCCCGCAAGGCTCCACGTGGTTGGCGGCAAAAGAAGGCTATCTCTGCGTATAATCGCTTGAGCCGAAAAGTCGAGGGGCTTCCATTGCCGTCACCGTGGGAAAAGTTCAACGTGTTCGTTTGGACTGGGGCCAACAAGGGGCCGGGCGGACCTTTGCATTGCCTCGCGCCAGCCGGGCTCGGGCTTGTCCCTGAGCGGTTAGCTTCAGGGCCCTCTTGCAGCGCCCTGTTAGGCGACCCGGCCCCGGCAGGACTCGCTATAATAATTGCCCAGGTGCGGTTGCAGCCCCGGACGGTGCATCGCACAGTGGGTGCGGCCGGCGACGGGCCATCGGCGTGCTGAGACACGACGCAGCCACAGTGCGATCTCGCGTCTTGTGCTTGGAGGCATGGATTTAGATTGAAGGATGGAGGGGATGAAGTCGGTTATCTCGTCTACCTACCTTACTTACAGCAAGACAAAGGCCCCTGTCACAATTCACATGTCGTTGGAACAAGTCTATTCGTACCTAATTTTCATGGATAACGTGGAGGATGCTATTTTTGCTTCACACTCATCTTTGCTTTGGATGTCTTTAATTTCCAAACACCAATAGTGTCGCCAGTCTGCCTTGCAGGGCAGTAAACGGCGGTCCTTGGCAGGCATTCTTCTCAACTGTAATAGTGACTGACCTTGAACCATGGATGATAATGGTCAAGCAGGATGGGACTCGGGAGTCGAGACTCAAATTACTACTCAGGTACGCGTGGGCACTCCCGAAATACCGTCGGGAACCAGTCAGTCTCCAAGGTACCTCTTCTCTCCTTCTGCCAGCTGAAGCCGATCAAACTCCACACTTCGGCTCGGCGTCTGTCTACATAAGGTACCTAAGGTATCAAGGCTCCGTGAAGTGGCAAACAGCAGAACTTCCATCGTAGAAAACACAGTTCAAGTAGTATCACTTCCTCATCAGTCGTCGATGACCTACTATATAAACAGTTCATACGCAGAGGCTTTCATTAGCCGTTGATGTGCTCTTTAGCAGGTTTATGGCATCCATTACCTTGGTGGTCTAAACCGACCTCATGTACCGAACTGCCATCGCTTATCTATCGTACTATCCCACATGCACTCTCGGGACTTACACCAGTGTGCTTACTCCTTCCTAGACATTCTCCCCATCTACGGGCATATAAACGAGTTATAGTAAGGTACCTTATCAATATATGTCATGGTACTAAAGGGTTTGGCTCTATTGTCCCTGCAACCAACAGGATGCACCTTCTCTTATGTAAGATACCTGAAGTAATGGTCTTTGGAAAGAGCCAATGCCCTGCCAACCAACAGTTGATCGCTCCTGACGCTTCCATCTCTACACCTGCTGCGGAACAATAAGGTAGGTACCTTATTCTCTCCAGCGGCTCAACTCGCCTCCATCTCGATTCTTCTCGCTACACTGTCCATGTTCTTTCTGTCCGTATTATTCTATCCCAGTTTTTTGCACCCCGTCATGTCCGGCTCTTAGTCCTCGACATTACTTCCATCTTTGGCGAATTGGAGCCTATTTTGCATCTTCTTTTTGGGCTTTTCGTTTCATCCGCTTCACCCTCCAGCTCTACTCGATATGGCTCCCCACGATCCATCTTCCCATCCCGGTGACGCTGACTCGAGCTCTCGGCGCTCCAGCTGGGCGGCTCTCATGCAGGAGTATGAAGATGCCGTCGAGTATCGAAGCAACGAGGCCATATCTGACACCGACGGTGACGCTGAAGTTATTACCGGAATGGCCCAACTTGATATCGAAGCAACCGATGCCCCTCCTGCCCCTGTCAGAATGCCCGATGTCGAGCTTCAACCCATTGTTGAGACTGCCTCTGTGACTGCCGCCATCCAGGTGCCTCAGATCACCATTGGTGACGGCAACGCTCCCGTGATAGATGCGGAAGTTCGAGAGAAGCTCAAATCGGAAGGTCCATTTCATAAATGGATGCGGACGATACATCGTCGAGCACGGCATCGGCCCACGCTGTCAGACGAAGGTATCACTTCTCTGCGGTCGCCATTCGAGTCTGAGGTCCACAGCCGGACACCTCCTTGGAAAAGAACCCATCATCGACACTCATCCTCGGGGTCTTCTTTTGCCTTTGTTACGGCGGTTCGAAGTGCTAGTGCCAGTCTCGCCAGTGTCAGTGCTGTGGCCCGATCACGAAGGACCACAGTGGGCTCTCAAGGCTTTTCAACAACGGAGCGTAGCAGCAGAGGATCCATTTCGGGTCCTCGTGCTTCGGAAGACAGCGGCTATTTGGACAACCACTCCCTAGCCGACTTGGCTGCCATTGAGAGATCGCTGCAACGGAGAAAGGTACTGGAGGAGCTGATCAGTACAGAAGAAGGGTACATTGGCGACGTACGCTTTCTCATGAATGTAAGTCGAGACGATCCCGATCCCGTGACATATTCTTCGTCTTAATAGCTTGTTAAGGTATATGTCACGATTTTGGCTGCATTGCCTTCCATCTGCGTTGGATTGCGATCATCCATCAACCAGAACTTGACAGAGATTGTCAAGTTACACGAGGAGCTCCTTGGTGAACTACATCGGATAGTTCCACACTCGGAATACACGCAAGCTGACTTGGCACCCTCGATGTCATCTCTGCCAAATCCTAATTGTCTTCATACTCACAGACGATGGTCCAGTCTCGGCGCCATACCGGAGCAAAATGTGAAAGCGAGGTGGCTTTTGAAAGCCCCAGGCATGCTGGCAGATCCGCAGGTCGCTGCCGAAGTCTCCAAACTCTTTGCAAAGAAGGTATTAGCCTGCCATATTGTTCAAGATGCCTCTGGATGAAGAGTCTGACAAGCCTTGACCTGTATCCAGATCAGTTGCTTCTTTATATACGAAGAATACGGAGCTACATACGAGATGATGATCAAAGATATTGCTTCAGCCCAGCAAGCCATGCCTGACTGGGAGACTTATCAAAAAGGACTCGAAGCTCTAGCACTGGCCCTGGGCTCTGCCAAGGATAGCGAAGAAGGAATAAAGAAGGCTCTCACGATCAATGACCTTCTTGTCAAGGTACCATTCTACGGACGGACTACGTCTGTTCTCGGGCATGAGCTAACGCGCATGACAGCCTATCCAGAGAATCTGCAAATATCCCCTCCTGTTTTGCGAGCTCCTCAAGTGCACCCCGATATCAGATTGCCCAAATTCGCACATGGAAATCGACAATACTCTGACAAGACTCCGCGAAGCAACCACAGAAATCAACCGGGCATCAGATGACGACCAGATCAGGGTCACTCTTGAAAGGACATGGATTCTGCAAGATCGACTCGTGTTTCCAGACAGGGTACTCTTTGGCAGACATTCATAGGACTCTCTACCCATTGAGGCTAACGTTCGACCTAGAAACTCGACGCCATTTCCAAAAGACAAATACGGTCCTTCGGCCACATTCGCCTCTGTGGAACACTTCACGTATGCTAGCAGACAGACGATGGAGTTGACGGGCAGTATTTCATTTGTCTCCTGTATCGAGACGTTCTTTGCCTTGCCTCTGCAGGCAAAGTCGACCCGATATACACCATCATGGCGTGCATCAACGTGGACGGGATCAGGATCGAAGACGTAGACAATGGACGAGGTAAGACGAGCGGGCGTCAAGAGGAGGCACATTCTCATGAGGGAAGAATACTAACAGGCAGCAGGGCTGCAATGTCACACCGCCCCTTTTTCTTGGAAACTAGTGTTTGAATGTGATCATCAACTATACGAACTCATCATGACGGCCTGCACTCCAAAGGAAGAGGCGGAATGGAGAGCACGATTGACCCGTCCAGTGAGCGAAGGCCAAGAGGAGAAGTCGCCGGATATGTTCAGTACTCTCCATATGGATATCAAGAGCCTGGGGACTGTTTTTGGAAAGCAAGGTGAGCACTCTCTGTAACGACATGCATGTTATTTCCACAGCCTGACCCATACTCAAGGCACGCTCGCGCGGCGGATATCGATTCAACGGGCCACTACTGTTGGAGGCGCCAAATCTCCTCTGTGCCAAGTCATCTTGAAGAATACCAACGGGTTGCGGGACCACGGCGGTAATGCGTCTGCGGCTTCGACCATCAAGCGTTCTCAGTCTCTGCTAACAACCACGACCCGAATCCCCGTGCTTGCACCGCCCAGGGGCGAGAGAGCCCGGCTAGAAGCGCTCCTTTCAGACGTATGGACGAGAGACATACTCCCGTTTCCTGGAATGTCGATGAAATTTCGAAGCGAAAATCTGGTTCGTAGCTCGGCATCTACCGTTATGAGAAAACTCAGTGTGGCGAGCTTTGCCAGTTCATTTACAAAGAGGTCCGCATCCGCTCAGAGAGCTCAATCCATCGAAAACATTGCCTTGGAAAGGATCAAGCGCCGGGGTATCGGAACCCCAATGGACTCCCTGATGATGGACGGTGTATGCATAGACGACGAAGCAGGCAGGAAGGCGAAGAGACAGCGTACAGCTGGGGGGCATGCAGCTATACAAGCGCCCGTTCATAGCCTGAGGGATGTTCCAAGAAGCCTCCGTCGACGAGGAGCGCGGATAGATGCATCCCCAAGGCAAGATCCCGTCAGCGACTTGTACACGTTTCCTTCCCGCGCAGCATCTGCCAACATACTGCTGCCATCAAAGCCCACGAGCCCCCGGGCCATGGCATCTCTGCCCGAGAATCTGGACAGAACGAGAAAGGCGTCAGCGGAAAAGTTCCGAAGCTTTGGCCGCTGGACCAGGATGGGTGTGGGGAGGAACGAGGGTACTGGCAGCTTCAGGAAGCTGCTTTCTATGGGCAAAGAGTTGTAACGGCGATGATACTGTTATGCGTGGAGACGCCGAGCAAGTTGGATGCATCCCTTGGAAAATGGGAAACCGCGGGACCACGAGTGGATAAGGCAATCATACCGTCTTGAACCGAGTATACGATAGGGATATGTTTGGGGTTGTGTAGGATTAGATGAAGCATTCTATAGACATTGTGGAGGAGGAGGTGGATTAATCATGCATTTTACCATGGGAGTAATGGCCAACTACAGACGCATGCAGTCAGTGCTGTTGGAATGATGGTGTTACCAGGTAATCGCACTTGCATGACAGCTCGTGATAGCTCGTCAGCCGGGAGCCACATTGGCAGCGCAGCTGGGCGAGACGATCCAGGCAGTCACGTTATGTAGATACAGGACCTGGAAGAAGGCAGAAGAAGCGATTGACGGGCCTGCGGTGAATAAGCTGAACAGCTCATGAGGCTCGTCGGTTTCAATTGTTCCTGGATCGCCGGCTAGGACGATCCACAGCGAACATGAAGCATGGAACTGGGTGAAACCTTACGTATTGGCCGTCTCGCCAAGTACCGGATACAGCCGTGATGAGGTCATCATGTACCCGTTGCGCTGCTTTTCGTGGAGGCCCGCAGTGAATCCGGTGCGGTCGAAATGGGGAAGCGCGACCCGGTACATGCTCAAGGTGCGCGCAGAGGTACACATTCCGCACGCCACGATGACGTAGTTGGCCATGACAGCTCCCCTCTTCATAGAGAGAAGGAAAGAGCAGCTTCTTCTGCCTTCTTTTAAGAACTGCTGCTCTTCCCAACTCCGGCTTCTTCTTTTCCTCCAATCTCATTATATCTTACTCAACATCTTCCATCTACCACTCAGCGAACACATTCATCCTACCACGCCAACTCAATCCTCAAGCTCTTCTTCTCTCACAAATTACCACACACAATCGTTCTGAAGCTCAGCGTCACGCGACCCCACGTCAAACAGCTAAACAAGCAAACACCCCTCCGTCTCACAAACACTCTACCACAGCCAAAATGACTCGAGGAGAAACCATCCAGTCCAAGGTCCACTACAAGGGAAAGCAGGACGACTTCCTCGTCTTTGTGGACGATGTAAACACGTACAAGAAGTGGCTGAACGACAAGAGCATCCCCCTGGCTCACTTCATCTCGGCCTTCCAGGTCTTTGTGACGCACCGGTATGTATAGCTTGAGATTTCCATCTGTCTAGATGCATTGGTTCGTCCCGGGCTGCTCGGCCATCTCGCTGCCGTTCCTATTTTTAGGAATAGCGACGATGGATGCGTTGGGTTGGGGGACATGCATTGAGCGCTTAGACAACTGCATGTCTGGCCAAGAAAATGAACGTCGGCGGCTAACAAGCAATTCCTTCACAGACAAGGTGCTCAGGGAACCTATGACTCGGCATCAAAGATGGCCCTCGCGGCCGAGTTTGATACCGACAACTCCGATGATGTGATTCAGAAGATCCTGGAGAAGGGCACGTTGCAGACCTCAGAGGTTCGTCTATTCATCCACCAAGTCCCCCCTTGACTGTCCGGATAGAGGAGAAATACTCACAGCGTTGTGAACAGATGCCTGAACGGCAAGGCCCCACCAACGATTCCATGAACTCGATGAGGACAAAATAGGCGTTTACTAGGGTTTCGAGGTATCGTGTTGAGCGACCATGCAGGCCCAGGCTCAGGGCCAGGGCTCAGAGTCGGGCGAAGGGTTATGCTGCCTGCATGGAGGCTCTCCTTACGTACGGTGGATATTTCATGACAAGGGAATAATAAAGCGGTTAAATTCTCAATGACACCCTCTGCCTCTTGTGTGCCTGTTAGGATCCATGATTCGTAGCGAGATTGTAGTCGACACGCCTTGTGGTTTGAGTGCATGATACCAATGACTTGTTCGTGATACTAAACAAAGCCATTTTTCCAACGTGCTTCGGTGGGATTGCCTCGTGAGCATGGAGATTTCTCACAAATGGCATACAACGAAGGAGAATTGGCGACATTCGAGTTTCATGAGGCTTTCTTGGAGCAAGTTCGATTTGGCCGACTTGAGCTGCTAACCGCCTGCTTTCGATCTGAGTCTCGCTCAAACTGGAATTAATCCCTTTTGCCTATTGGTCCATGTTCCCCCTTTCCATCCATGCCCTCGTGGGTATTGTTCTGGCCTTTCGTAAGTAATGTACATGCAGGATTTGATCCCGGATCCGTGGCTTGTCCCTTTGTTCTTGCTCTTCTCATGAATTGTGTTTTTTTTTCTGCTCGCTTCTTCTGTGGCTTACGAAGGGGGAGATTTCCCCTCTGCTTTCTTTGCTTCCCCTTTCCCCTGACTCAGACCTTGCCGCCGGAGTTTGGCGTTCGGGGAGGTAGAGTCCAGGGTTTTGCGCAGATAATCTAGCAAAAAAGTGTTAGCTTTCAGGTTAGGTGCAAGAGACGGGGATACAAGGGAACATACCTCGCCTTCACTGTAGGCCCAGAAATAGGCGCCCATGCCGATGAGGTAGTAGATGCCCGGGTTGGTGGACTGGTACATGAGCAGGCAGGCGAGCGCGGTGAGGGGCAGCATGGCGAGGCGGAACTCGATGGAGCGGTGGATGCTGGTGCCGGCGAGCAGGGGCAGGGGCCACTCGAGGGCGAGCATGAGGAGGCCGAAGACGAGGTTGATGGTCTGGAGGATGGGCGCGGGCTTGACGGCGGCGTCGAGGGAGTGCGTGAGGAAGTCCCAGAAGATCTTGGGCCAGATGTAGCCCTCGATGGCGGCGCCGACTTGGTCTGTTTTGGGGGGGGGAGAACCCATGTTAGTTTTCTGTTCGGACGTAGTTGTGGATGAAGTAAGGACTTACAGGTTGCGGCTGTGAGCATGATGAGACGAGCCCAGTGGTTCTTGATAAGCTTGCCCATTGCTGCGGTTTTGGTGGAGTAGAAGAGATATAGATGTCGAAATATGGCTTCTTTGGCTTGTCCTTTCGTATAAGGCGTAATGAAACGAAATCTTCCCAGGTGTCGTCCGTCTTATTCCTTCTTTCGAAAAATCGTACCCTTGAACCCGTCGAAGAAACCACAAACAGAGACAAGTCGGATCAACCGAATATCCTCAAGAAAATTGTAAGGAAATAAGAGAGAATGAAACAAAGTGATTAAAAAACAGCGTTGAAGAAACAGGTAACCGGACCTGAGTATCGAAGAAGAGAAGAAAAAAGAAAAAGAGACACCGAGCAGGCTAGCAGCTGGTGAACCTGTAGAAGAGAAAAACGAAAGTTGACGAAAACAAGAACAAAGGTTCAGAGATCCGAAGGAGGGCCTTGATCTATATTGGACACCCAAAACCGGCCGGGGCCCTCTGGGGCAATGCCGGCTGGTCTTGCGTCTAGGCGCCGGAGGATAAAACCGGTTTGAGGGAGGAAAAGGGCCTCTTCGTTTTGTGTGTCAGGCGCCGGGAGCTAATAGTAGCCAAAATCGTGCCTCTGCCTCAGCTTTCGGACGATCTTCGTGTTCTGGCTGGGGTGATTACAGCGGGCACGGGCATCCGGGCAGAAACATGGAACGACGATGGCCTTCTGAATCGTCCCAGGCTTCTTTCGTGGGCGAGAGGCGGGGACAGAAAAGCTGGAACAAGGGCCGGATAGATCGATATCCGTTTCGAGCAGGGGGCCGGTTGGACCTGAGGCAGAAGCTTGGATGTACTTTGGAGATGGTCCGGTCTTGTCCACAGAGAGGAGGGGGGCTTGGGATGTTGAGCAAGAGTGAGTTTCACGTTGCTGGACCGGGGCGTAGTCACTCCGTGAAGTTCTCGTTTTGCAGTGGCGGTACCGAGTAGCAGGTGAGGCGGTTTGAGGTGGGAGAGGCAGTATAGCAGTAGCGTGGCAGTGGTGTCGTTTGAAAGAGGTCGTTGGTCTCGTACGGGGGAGTCGGAACAGGGGACAAGCTGGGGGGAAAACAGAAACAAAAGAATAGGTCGCTGAGAGGGGGTATCACGAAGGAGGTTGTTCTGAAGCAGTGGGAGCAAGAGAATTGTGGAAGTGGGAGGGGGGAGGTTTTTGAGAGGTTACATGTAAGTACAAATACTGAGGTGAGGGTTGAGCGGGCGGGTACGTGAAGCATGGCCCATGGCTGCGCCTGCGAGAAAAGTACCTGCTAATAGCTCTTCCTCCTCACAAGCATGGCCACTGGCTGCTGCTTTTTCTCTCCCCGTGCCGCCCAGCGAAAAGAAAAAAAAACATGTCGGACGGGCCCAATTGGTCACACAGCAAAAAACGGCGCCGTTTGTCTCTGGGCTCAATGTGTGTCTGCGGTGGTGTTTCTCTCTGTGGAATCACAGCGGCGATTGGTGCGTCGTCGGCGGTTACAGAGGCGGCGAGGGCCAATCAGGGCGCGTGCCGCTGCTCCTGCGCGTCGGGGGAACATGGGGGGGCGGCTCCATCGGGTTGCAGGGCGTCAGGGAGCCCCTGCCCGCTGTGGACGGCCCTGTAATGAGCTGCTACCGAGGGGGGTACCGGGGAGTCGGAGGAGATGGTACTCGTGAACTACAATCAATACCTGCGGTATATGCTGCAAAAGATCAAGTACAGCTTGGGTAACCTTGGCTATCCCATGCTTGTTCTCTCAAACTCACTCAAACTCACCTGAAGTCCGATGGCTGCCATCATGCGATACTACCACCACTTCACACCCAGTCTTCGAAGCTCTTGGAAGCACCCTCCGCTGCAAGCGACAAGTCTCGGCATCAGGGAACCTTGGGAGGGCCTGTTTTGGAAAGGCCTCTAGGCTGTCTCTTTTTTTTTTTTTTACTTTTCTTCTGCAGCTCCGGAACACTCGAGATCCGGCATCCTGTTGCTCCGCATGGCCTTGCAGCCATTCTATACGGGTACGGCAAGCACTTACACGCAGGTACAGGTAAATTTTGACAATGCATTCAATCTTTCATATCCCAACTCAATTCTTCTGTCTCATTGGACAACATACAACAAAAATTGAGATGAAATGAACTAAAGAAAGACCTTTCTTCTTCTTCTTTCCCTTGCACCTCTGACGGATGCGCGACCCTCGCAGTCTCACCTGGCTATTGTGAGGCACGCCACAGAATTTGTGAAGCACGCCGCGTTTGGCCTGTTTCCCCCAGGGCCACCCACCCTTCCCTGCACGAACTCGCCCATGTAAAACATACGGGATTGTCCAGACAAACGATGCCCCCGTCTCTAATCACTATTAATCGATAGATTTTGCCCTATGTCCCCTGATCGCCTTCCATCAAACAAACGCAAAGATAGTGATGGGAGGAAAAGAGACGATGACGAAATATGCAATCAATCAGTCGAGCAAATCGCTGGACGAGGCCAAGATAGGGTCAACCACTAAACCGAGCTAGTAAGGTACCCGACATGTAGCTTCAAGGTGGGCAGGGGTCGCAAAAATAGAAGTGCGGGTCAACGAATCGATGCCAGTCATTTTCTTCTGCTTCTGCAACTGGACATGATGACCTTTTTTTTCCCTTCCGGCGTCATTCATTGGTTTCCGGGCTCCTCTTCGAGATCTTGCTGTTGGTTGACTCTGGTTCCTGCTTCTTCCCGTCTGTCTGTCATGCTGGGCCCTGATGTAGTATCATCGTTCCCTGCTTGCCACGATGGCGGGACCAGCCGATGCGACATTGTGTTTGTTCGCTTGTTGGTTGAATCTTGCATCTGGCTTTTGTTTCGCATGAAATACCTTATACATAAAGGAGCTTCTTCCTCGTTGAATCTCGAAACTGTTTTTTTTTTTTTTCTGTCATTTGCTTCTTGACGTCTTCGGATCCAATGAGACCATCCATCATCCCCCCTCTCGCTGATACCGACTGCATTCATCACTCGTCACCTCGGCTCATCACATCGAATCACTCGGCATTAGCATCTCTCGAGTCCAGCTGGGATCCCCTCACCGGACGAAATATTACACCGCCTAAACGGCATTCTGCATTGACAAGAGCGAACTACTACAGTATTACTAGATGGCACAGACAGAAGCACGCCAAAGATTGATCACTGACAGATGATTGATAATGCTGGCCACTGACGATCAGAGTTGCCCTCTTCAGCCTCACGGCGGCTCTACGCCCACGCTGATTGGCTCCCCTCTTGGGCCGCCCAGCTGACGTCCAGCCAACCACGGCCGCCATCACCAATGTATTGCCAGAATTGCCCCAATTGCAGGCTTCAAGATGCTTGTGCTGCATTGACCGCCTCGCCGAACCAGTTTTTTTTTTTTCTTTTCCATCCGATCTCTCGAGTCTCTTCACGTGGACCGGGAGAGCATGGACCACGGCCATGGCTATGGGCTCGGTGACCGTTGATATAGCGCGGTGACGAAATACTGGTCCGGGGACTAGTTGTATGTAACCATGTAAATGACCAGACATCAGACGATATGACTCGATACCCGGTTCTTGGGGACTCTCTTTGCTTCTTGGTGGGAGCTGAGCAGTGCGCAAGCGCCCACTGTTCCGAGGTAGCAATGATGGTACTGATTGGGCACCTTTGACAAGTGGAAGAAAGGAAGCAACCTGAAGTAAGAATGAAAGAGTAAAGGCCCAAAGCATTCACCGCAGCATCGAACCTCTACCAACAGCCTGAGCCTGTGCCGCGTTTGTCGCCGAGCGCCGCCTCTCGACCCCAGAGGCCCAGCCGGCGACTGTCCTGTGCTGGTGCCCGTGGGTGAAGAAGGCAATCACCCTGCCGCCCTGCGCTTCGCCAAGCAGATCGCGAATCCTCCTCTGCCCATCAGCACACAGGACCAGCTGTGCTAAGCTTCCCAGTCCTGCGGCGAGATCCGTCACGACGTCGATGTGTTCGGGCGGGAGCGGCGCCGCCTGCCCGTGCACGCAGTGGGATGCGAGATCGCGCAGCTCCTCCTCCTCCTCCTCTGCGCATGCGGCTCCGTCGGCTCGGTTTATATTGTTGCTGCTGGTGCGGGAGAGGTTGTTCGCTGCGTTGGCGAATTGGCGGCGTAGGGTGTCTAGGCGAGAGGCTAGTTCGGATGCCGATGAGATGGGGACGATGGGCATGGAGGACATGCCGTGGGCCATGATGCTGGGCTTTGATATCAGGAACAAGCCACCTTTTCGCAGAACGCCTTGCAGATACGAGTCTTGTGATATATATATCTCACCTCATCTGTAGGTCAACCAGCGAGTCCACGCAGCCACTCTTTTCCATGAGGAGGATAACAGCAACGTTGTTGCCGCCGTCGAGCATGGAAAGCCTTTCGATCCTGGCTTTCGCCGTCGCCGCCTTGGCTTCTTCGGACGAGAGCAGCAGCACCTTGAAGGAGCCGCCGCCGGGGCGAGTCTTGTCAGGCGGCGCGATCGTGAAGGAGACGTCATAGCCGTCGAGCCTTGTCTCTGTTCAAAAGCTTGGGGCATCTTTGCTTCGTGAAGATGGTTCTGTATAAAGGTTTGCCCTTGCCTTTCCAGCCTGCAGAAGTGGTTCGTGATAGAGCTGGGACAACTGCCGCCCAGTCTTTTCGCTGCCTTAGAGATGAGCAAAACATGGCGGCAACACGTTTTCCAGCGCAACTTCTTGGCTCTCGAGTTGATAACGTATCTTTTATACAAAGATTGGACTACCGGCCTCTGGGATGGATCACCAGCGATGCCAGAAACCCGCGTGGAACAGTATGTACCTCAAGGTCCTCATGAGGGTGGTCTATCTGTAGCCAAAACAATCAGGAGTTACTTTGCTCCTTCTCAAGCACATCTTCAACTCCTCTTCCCACTGATCACTCCTTTATAGCCCATCATCTTAGTTCCAAACGTTCTATATGCTGTGTGAAAAAAAAATCAAAGAATCTCATCCTCTTTACGGTACTGAGCGGAGTGTTAAGAGACCCATGGATGCTGCCTATCCTGAGCTCTGAGCTTTCATCGAATCTCGCTCTTCCTCTGGAGACTCCAATATGCTATTCATGATCCCCTTGATTTCGTGGGCCCCCCACGTTGTGATGTATTGGTCCGCGCTGCCGGCGTCGAGTACTACCCAGCAGCCAAGGTCATAATGACTTTCTGGGCAGATTGTTACGAAAAGTCGCCTACGCATTGGCTTGCAATGACGGTAGCAGCGGCTGCTTCGTCTTCGGGTCCTTCAACGTCCTGAGTGCCTCCTCGAGCGATTCGAAGCGTTGTCGCTGCCTCTCCTCGGCCTCGGCCAGTTCCTCCTCCTTCTTCTGGAGCTCCTCGAACCTCCTGTTGAGCTCGTCTATCCGCTCCTTGTTGGCGTCGGGCTTCTGCGACGACTTGTAGTACTCGTAAATGATCAACGCGCCCGCCACGCCGAGGATGAACGTGTCGCCGGCGACGTCCGCAAACAGGTCCACCGCCTTGTTCTCGGGCAGCGGCCGGAACTTGCGCTTCCACACGCTCTGCAGCGTGAACCTCGGGTAGCTGGGCTGTTGTTGGGACTCGCCGCCCTTCTTCTTCCCTTTTAGCTCCTCCCGCTTGACCTGCTCCTCCGTCTTGACCGTCGGCGCCTCTGCCTGCTCTTTCGCTCGCCGCTCGGCTTCGGGGTCTCGGAGGAGGGCGACGGACAGCTTCATGTTGAGCTGGTGGATGGCCTGGCCGTATTTGGCGGCGAGGGCCCGGAACCGCGGGTGGTCATGGGCCTGGGCCTTGATGCGGTTCTAGAGGGGAGGGCCACGAGAAGCATCAGCATCGGGTTATCTGGACAGTTGGGGGATTCAATTGACGTACCGCGCCATATTTGGAGACATGCCGCACAAAGAGAGAGGCGAGCTTGAACAGGGGGAGGGGCACCATGGTGATGTTCGCGGGGAGGGGGATGGTTTGTCTGCGGGGTTCGTTGGTTCCCTGTCCAATTCGATGTTTCTCGGCGATTTGTTGGTTGAACCTTGCCCAGTTACTTCATTGTTGGCTTTGGTCGTGTTACTCGTGATGTTCGGGAGCTGGGCATGTGAGAGGCTCTCGTGGAGGCCTTAACGGGAATCGGAGCTACAGGTACTTCTAGCTTGAGCTGGACGGCCATCGTCGTGGATTGGCGGTTTGTCTGGGCCGAAGCCCGAGCCCGCGATTATTCCGGAGCCCACCGACGCTGATGACTGCTGAGCCCAACTTCAAGCTTGGAGTGCCTTATTAGCATACTATGGCCAGCATTACGAAGGCACTTGTGTATTACCTGGATTGCTGCCAGCTCATACAAACTGTGATGGATATTTCCTGCTGCCCAAGGCCTATCAATGACAAGTGTGAGACACTCCAGAGCTGGACATGCTGCTACATAAGCAAGAATCCAATGTCTTGTGCTGCCCTTTTCGTGGCGTGTCAATGCCTGGGCTACTATTACCAGTCGTGGCAGCACAGCTTGAGAGCTTCAGTGGCACAGCTACAGTGGCAGCCCGCCACCAACGTCCACTAAAGCCCTCCCTCGCAGCGCCTCCAGGCGGCAGCCATCTGGCCGCTGTGGGGACCTCCATGGCGCTCAGCCCAATGGGCGCAACCGATTCGGCCAGCCAGGGCGGTGTGACCCGCCCGCAGGCCATGCTGTTGCCAGCAGCAACCAGCTCGCACAAAGTACACAAATCACAACACATGCATGGGGGCCGACGACAGCTGGAACTTGCCAGGCCCTGTGTGCTGTTTTCCGTGGTCACTGCGCTGCGCTCACCTTCTCTTGCATCGCCAGCCTCGACGGTCCTCCAGCATTGCAGAGCGCCGCCTTGCGAGTCGGATGCTTTGAAGCGGTTCGCAACAGAGGGCGTCACGAGTCCCCTTTCGCATGCTGTGCGTGATCTGGAGCATCCCGTGAGTTTCGACCTCTTTTTGTTGTTTTTTTTTTTTTTCTTTCCCCGGACGAAGCATTCCTTGTCTTTGCGCCACAGTCGAGAGAGCCTCAGCCATGTTTTGCTTTTTCGGTCATTTCCCTGCCGCCTTGCTGGGCCTTGGGCGCACGCGAGGCTCCGCAGCGTGCTTCTCTTGAAGAAGAAAGAAAGAAAGAAATAACCCCCCAAAAAGTGACTCCTCTTCTAACCGCGTTGATCTCTTCTTTTTTTATTTCTTAGGCTCGTCACGGCACGATTCTCAGGCAGCTGTTGGCTCCCACAGCTTGCCCAGTCCTCCCTCGCCGCGTGAACTCGACGGGCTCCGTCGCCCAACCGGCCGCTCGTCTCCCGCCATGGCTCACAGGCTGGTCCCCAGGGGCGCCCTCGACGTGGAGGCTTTGTCCCCTAGGGATGTCAACGCCCAGCGAATGCCCAAGGCCGGGGAGACCAAGACGACCAAGACCGCCGCCCAGCTGAAAGCCGCCAAGGACAAGGAGCACCCGCCCCCTCCGCCGCCAGAGGTCGTCGAGCCGAGCAGCACAGATCGTCCAGAGGGCGCCGTGTACCATGTCGGGAAGCTGTTGGGCAAGGGCGGCTTCGCCATATGCTACACCGGCCAGCTGCAGCCCAGCAGGCAAAAGTTTGCTCTCAAGATCGTCAAGAGCCAGATGCCCTCCAAGATGGAGCAAAAGGTTTGGTGCCCGCTGAGACTTCGGGGTTGGGCTCTTGGACATCCGCTGACCATCTGGCAGTTTCAAACCGAATTACAAATCCACTCCAAGATGCGGCACAGGAACATCGTTCAGTTCTTTAGGGCGTTTTCGTTTGTCAACTGCACCTTCTTAGTGCTCGAGCTTTGCCCCAATGGCTCTCTCATGGACATGGTGAAGCGACGAAAGGGCCTCACGGAGCCCGAGGTCCGATTCTACTCCGTCCAGATAGCCGGCGCCATCAAGTACATGCACAGCAAGGGAATCATTCATCGCGATCTGAAAATGGGCAACATCTTCTTGGACCAACAGATGAACGCCAAGATTGGCGACTTTGGGCTTGCTGCGTTGGTGGTCACGGGCAGGGATATGCAGACCATTCGACGAACGACTCTTTGCGGCACGCCAAACTACATTGCTCCAGAGATCCTCGAGAAGGGAAAGAAAGGCCATGACCACATGGTGGATATCTGGAGCTTGGGAATCATCATGTTTGCCATGTTCACATCGAAGCCGCCGTTCCAGTCCTCGACAACAGACGAAATCTATCGACGCGCCAGGGAGCGTGACTACGAATGGCCAAGTGCAGAGGTTACCCAGAAATACATTAGCCAGGAGGCTAAAGACCTGGTGGCCACCATGCTTGAGGATGCAGATCAGCGACCCGACCCCGATGCCATTGTCCAGCATCCGTTCTTCACCGCGGGTTATATGCCGTCGTCTGTGGAAATCACCTCCAAGCTGCGAGAAGTGCCTCCTGACGCCGACGAGTACTACGCTTCCCGCCTGAGCGGCTCTGCGATGGCTCAATCTCTCCGTAACCTCGAGGAGCAGTGTCGTGACTGCGGCGTTGGGCCCTGGGCTGCAGAAAAGACGTCGCACACCCAGATCTGGAAGGAGATGGCTGCTGAGGAAAAGGCCGGCCTGACTCCAGTCATCCCCCTTTCGGATGGCGTCGTCTATCGACCGTTTGATGACTGGCTAAGAGAGCAGCACCAGATCCGCGCAAACATGAAGTACGCAGCCTCTGTTTCTTCACGGTCAACCCCGAGCGAGGGACAGGAAGATTCAACCACCAGCTCGCAGAAGCCGCCTCCTCCCACGGGCCTCCTGCGCCAGCCACCCCAGAGCTTTGCGGCTCAGCAGCGAACTCAAGGCCGACCTGCCACTTCCGCCTCTACGAGGACTCGATCCGCTCCCGACACCGCCCTTTCAGCCTCGCAAAGCACCAGAGTCCGACCACGCCAAGAGCGTCTCGAGTCGACTTCCCGCGAGACGCTCTTCTCATCGAAAGAGGCCCTCGACTATACTGCTGCGGCCTCCACCACGTCCTCGACCACTGCCAGGACCATGCGCATGTCAGCAAGGGCTCAGCTATCGGCGACTCGATCCGCGCCGAGTGTGCCACTCGCAGAGAGAGCGGGAGCCGTCTTGTCGTCGGTCCCGATCCACAAGAGACGAAACTCAGAGTCCGTTCGATCAGCCACTTTGTTCAGCCCATCCGAGTGTCCTACGGAGATGGAGGGAACGAAGCCTGATGAGATCCTCGAGCGATTGCGCGGGCTCCAGGCAGAGCTTGAGCGAGCTCTCAATGCCCGCACCATGGCCATTATGTCTGCGAAAACGGCTCCTCCGCCACACCCTCACATCGTCGTCAAGTGGGTGGACTACACTAACAAGTTTGGCCTCGGCTACATCTTGAACGACGGCAGCGTGGGATGCATCCTGCGTGACATTCCCACCACCGAAGGCAGCAAAACAGCTTTGCTCCCCCCGGCGGGTGTCTTCATCCGTGGCGCGGAGAAACATATCCTTCGTCGACAAGACGAATCCTACCAGGACCGCCATCAACCAGTACCCATGATGGAGCCTATCCAATTCTTTGAGAACAACGGCGAGGCTGGCCTTTCACAGGTCACAATCTCCCCCGGCCAGTTTCGCGTGTCCATCAACGAGGATGGCACGGCCGGCAAGATGGCACCCGGCAAAGACGTCTTTCAACATCGGAAG